GCTTGTTCGAAAGCTCAGAGCAAGGGCAGTATGCTGGTAGCTGTATCGATCGCGACATCAAGATATTTTCGATTTTAGAGCCAAAAATGTGTCGCAAACTTTTAAAAAATGCTAAATTTTCGCAAAATCAGCGAGACACAATTTTCAAAAAATTATTTTTGTTATTTTTAGTTTTTCAATTAAGAAATCCTTCTGTAATTTTAAAGATTAATGTTCGAATTACAAATAAAAAATAAAATAAGACCAAGTTATCAGACTTGTTTTTGAGTTATTCAACCGTTTATATAGGCCATTTTGGCAAAGATAACCACTTCAAGCCAAAATTTAGCCGCTTTTCGGTTGAGCAATTGATAAACACCTCTGTAATAGTTATGATCTAGGGCAGATCTATTAAATGAGCCTATATGGACTCATCAATCATTCACAAGCTCCGAGGTATTCAAGGCTCAAGTTGGGGAAATCGAAGATAGTACCCTTAAGGTGTTGAATTGAGTGTTGATTTCTGACACGGAAGAACCTGTTTCTTCTATCTGTTTGATATTTTGTCCTGTAAAAAAGTTAAAAAAGATGACTCTCATTTAATATAGTTGATTTTAAAGCAAAACTCATAAGAAATGTAATAGAATTGATTAAAGTCGGCTAAGTTGAACTTTCTTCTATCCAAAGCTTTTTATGGCCAGTACAATCATTAAAAAGCCGGCTGCTTAATTTTTCGTAATTGACTTCGCCGATCGGGCAGACAAAAGTCGCGGGGACACTGCCTCAAATGCTAACAGGCATAACGTACAAAAAATAAACTTTTTATCTGTAAGAGATACAAAATTTAAACTTATGTAAAAATGATTTGTGATAATTAATAAATGATAAAATGAGCTTTTACAAATTTTTGATGAAAAGTCAAATTTGTGTACGTAACGCCGACAAATGCTCGTTATACCGCCTCATTTTTCCAGATGTCAATATGTCTAATATTAAGATAAGCTACACATCGGGAAATATTAGTTTGACACATTTTCATAATGAGAATAAACGAAAATGAGAAGAATAGGATCTCTGTTATTTTCGTCGATAGAAGCAAAGCGAAATGAACACTACGGTATACTCTGATTTTTTGTCGCTTGGAAAGAACATCGAAGAGTTTGACCTGCGACACAATTTCGGCAATGTTGATAAATTTAGACCGCCATATAAGGTAACAGAAAAGATACTCACAAATCAGAAAAAAAAAATTAACTCTTCCTAGTGAAAATCGTAGGCCAGACTTTGTCTAATAATGAATTCAGCTTTCTGTCGGAATTGTTGTTTTTGGAGTTATTTCAAATCTCAGGAACTGGTCCGATTTTAAGACAGAAATTTTTAATGATGGATTTTCGAGTTCGCCCAAAAGTATTTTATACTTCATCTTCAAGGACAGTGGAGTCGTCAAAACAGCCCTTGCTCCGTATTATCTCAACAAGAGCAATCGCTCTCGAATGATCGATTTCAACTTCTTCTGGCTTTGCTCCTTCAGCCTTTTGGATTTGCTAGCGCAATCGCTGCTTCTTGGCCAGACTTTCCGCGGCGATTCGTTTTCCGGGCGACTTGAAACTTGCCAGATTGCTTTGAGCCTCACTCATTTTTCAAGAATAATGATCTCGATTCAAATATTTTTGATTGCTTGCTACAGACTCAATATTATGACGCAAGGACTGACGACGCGTAAACGAATGACGAAAAAGCTTATTGATCAAATTTTCTGCTTTCAGATCTTGGGTGGGTAAGTTTAACCCCTCCCGACTCGATTCTAGCCCCCCTTGCCTATCAACTTCGAAGATTTTTGTCCACTCTAGGCTTGGACAACCCTAGCCCTAAATTGATTTTAGTCTGCCCTAGAATAGGGTTATTCTAGCCCTAAAGTGATATTCGCCCACCCTAAGCTTTGGTTGTCCTAGCCCTAGAGTGACTTTTGCCCACCTAGGCGAGGGTGACCTTAGCCCTAAAGTGACTCTCACGCACCGTAGGCTGGAGTGACCCTAGCCCTAAAGTGACTCTAGCCCACCCTAAGCTAGGACAACCCTAGCCCTCAAGACTTAAGGCTAAAGTTAATTTTGCCCACCCTTGTTTAAGACTTATGTCGCCATGATCATAGCCGGATACGAAGCCTATGAAGCTGGCAAATTTGGATCAAGAGGCTTTTTCGACGAAATCGGTACCTTCAGGGCCAAGTCAAAAGCTCTCCTCGAAATCTTCCTCCGTTATTCGGAATATTATTCCGACACTCCTCGAAACCTCTCCAATGATGCGCTCTTTGACTCCTACTGCTGGCCAAATTCGAAGAAAAATCCTTTGGTTTTCCGAGACTCTGAATATCGCTTCGCTTTCTATACGATTATTCTTCCAATAAGCGGACTGATGCTTTGCTACTCGAAAATTGTTTTCATGGTCCGAAAGAGCTACAAACTTATCGGTAACTTTTCGTCCTTTCATTTTGCCTAAAAAGTTTTAAGATAATGCAACTCGATTGACGAGGCAGAACAAACAACGACTCGACGTTGTGCTTACAAAAAAGCTGGTGCTCGTTTTTCTGACTTATGTTCTTACCATCGGTGCTTTTCGACTGCTGCGAGTGGTTATCGAGTACGAGCTTCCGATCGATTCCAGCACTCGAAATTTTATTATTGAATGGAGCAAGCTTCTTATTCTGATCTGGGCTCGGCAACCTGTGTGGAAAACCTGAGTCAGGCTCCAGAGTAACCAAGAAGAAAGCTTCGAATCCTGACTCAGGTTTTAACACAGGTTTTCGAGCCTTAATCCAGATCGAACCGGCTGTGAATCCGTTTTTGTATCCAATGCTTCCGGGAAGCGACATTCGATACGCCTCAGATTTCTTTGGAATTGTCGGGTAAACAAGATGAATTCAAATTCTTCCAAAGAATAAATTAAGGAAACCGTTCAGATGGGGGAGTGATAAGATGCTCAAATTTACGAGAATGGTTTCGACGGTCCGCCGAACTGGATCAGCTCGATCTCATCAGACGTCGATTCAACAAGTCGAGCAACAAATTACTACATAAAATTCATTAAATATTGATTGTTACTGTAAAATCGAATTTTTGTGAATAAAAATTTTTTCAAAATTTTTCATTTATTGCATTTTTAATCGACTCATGCGGCGCTTTAAAAAGTCCTCTTCTTTTTATCACCGAATTCCAGTCGATTTTGTGGTAGTTTGAGTGCTTCACATTCAGTGGATCCGATTGAAAATCGTAGTTGTAGATTTGATCTTAAGGGGGAGGTCGACGAGAATCGGGATTTTTGTAACCAAAAATGCGGAAAAACCTGCTTAGATAGGCAAATTCTGACTTTTCACGTAGAAAGAAAAGGGTTTCAAAAATACAGCGGCGAAAACTAGAAAAAAAATTTTCTCGAAAAAATTTTGAAAAAATTAGGTCAAAGTGGGGGTGTCTCGTAACAAAAAAATGTCGAAAACGGGATAATTTTTTCCCCATCAAATACTGTTGATAGTAAGTTCAAACCCTTAAAAATACAGCGGCGACAATGAAAAAAGGGATGCTCCTCCTGAAAATTTTTTTACTGTTGATCAAAAATATCCGATTTTCCTAAAATTCATCATTTTTGCTCATTTTTCACTGCGAATTTTACAAAACTCGCAGAGACCCGTAATTTTTTTTTGTGCGTTATGCCTAATTATGACTAATAAACCATTAAAAATAAATATCTATCAAATAAAAATCGAATAAAGATTGTTTTTGGGTGAGATAGCCAACTTAACAATTTCTTAAAATCTCGAATTCCAGACACAAAATCGAAAATTTTGTTAAAAAAAGTTGATCAATGCGCAAAAAGCTGGAGACCAAAAATGCTCCTTGTTTATTGAGGAATCCAAAAATATTACCAAAATTTTGAAAAAGCGAAAAAAAATTTCTCGTCGACCCCCTCCTTAATCTACATGCATTTTTATATTAAAATGAGCATACCAATATATTCATTTATATGCCGAACAACAGCTGGCGTCATCGAGTTCACAAGCGACCCAGGAGGATGAAGGAATCCATAGTGACATTCGCTGACGGTAAATATTTGACACTGAGAGCTTTTAAATGCGTTTGTTGGTGAAATATGAATCATCGGTCATATTATATGACTCATATGGGAGAAAACAACAAGATATTTTTGGGTTGCGTCAGGAACCGGCAAAAATTTCGACAAATTTTGCGTAGGCAGCAGATCGGTTCTTGATCGACCGGTTTGCCGAATTCTGGTATCTGATTGGTTGAAAATTTCGACGCGAGATTTGTCGAAATTTTTCGGGGAGGTGTCTGGAACCGACAAAAAATTTCGACAAATTTTGTGTGGAAATTTTCAACCAATCATAAGCCCGGAGTCGGCTCACCGGTCAATCAACGGCCAAGTAGCCGCCAACGCAAAATTTGTCGAAATTTTTTGTCGGTCCCAGACGGCACCCCATTTTTTCTTGGGACCCATTTTGTCCGGACCGATAATAATGAAATAATTATTCATCATTTTAATAATTGAAATGATATAGTAAAGGATCCTTTTTATTCTTTTTAAAAAGCCCTTCCAAAACAAAAAAGAAAGTTTTCATTCGACAAATGTTGTCTCGTTTCTCTTTTCTACTAAATCAGTTTGTCTCTCTATCTGCCTCAAAAAGACAATCCAGCCAAAGCGATCAAAGACATCGTGGAGCTAAGCGCTTCTCAGTCCACTCCCCGTCAATTCATTCATGCTTATGATCTACTGATTACATTCGAGCACAACAAGCATATCAACTCATGCTTTTAAGCTTTTGCTAAAAACAGTTTTATTTTATCAACTTGATGAACCGACGAATTCTTTAAAATAATAATATTATTATATTAAAAATATAACAGACGGGTCTTGGTTCTTGAAATCAAGCTGATAAACCCGCCCAATGATAAAATTTTTATGATTTGATTATTTTTTGATTGCTTCGGCAAGAGTTCTCAAAATTGTCAAAAATGATCTACGAAGTGACTGTCAAAATAAACAGTGAAATACAGAAGGAATATGAAGAGTACATGAAGAAGCATATCCAAGGTAATCAAGCATGAATTTACCCTTGAAAGTTTTAAGATGTGGTGAATACAAAATGCTTCACGACCGCCAACTGGTTCACTTTTTCTGAGGACAACAACGACAAGAGCATCACCTCTTACGTCATCACTTACAAAGCGAAGTCCGAAGATTCCTTCAACGAGTACCAAAAAACCTACGCCAAAGCCCTCCAAAAGGAGCACACCGAGCTCTGGGCGGAAAAATTTTCCGCCTCTCGAAGATTGCTTTTTGAAAAAATGACCTTTGTCGACTTGGATCTTTAAATTTTGAAATCAACGAAGAGAATAAATCTTAAAATCAAGGAGCATAGAATTTTTATTGAACAATTATTTACATATACATAAAAGGATCATAAACTGAATGAAATTTGTGGAGTTATTTTCCTCGAAGCGAGAGATATTCTTGATCTCGGCGGTGCTGGTCGGAGATTTCAGCTGCGATCTTTTCTTTTTGGGTCATTTTTGTCGTCCAGAATTTCACTGAAATTTATGTTATTTTTTCTAGGAAAAGAGATTCACCAGATAGCAAGTGAGTTTTATAATTTTTCTATTATTTCAACAAAAAGATGTTAAAAATATGGGACTTTTGAAGATTGAAATTTCATTTATGGTCCTTAAAAAATTACAAATGAGCTCACCTTTTCCCGAAAACCCAGTCTTCTTCTTTGGCATTTGCTCCTGCACCCTCGGAGTCGGATTGAGCGACATCTTCACCGTGTTGATATGGCTGATAGCGTCAGTGCTGATAACCGTTGGTCCAGAAATATCCGCCGCGGTGAGTCGTTTCTTTTGCGGCTCCGTTTTTATCGCTTTGGCGACTCGTTCCGTTTTCTTCGCTTTCGGAGTTTTGACGCTGATTTTCGAGCTCTGGTTCTTTTTCGCTGGGTTGAAGAAGCCAAAGTCAGCGTCGGGACGAGAGGCGTCGGAAATCTCCTCGTGGAGGGTCTGGAGAGGAAGAGAAAAGGCAGCGGAGAGGAGACGCTTCTTTGACTTTCTTTTGATGCTTCCTCCTTTTTTCAAGTCCGTGGATGAAGCGGAAGACCCGGTGTTTTTGGCCGGAAGGGGTTGAGGATCTCCGATCTTGTTCAAGCCACGGTCCAAGCTGAAGGAAAAGGATGAATAAAGGAGATTTGAAAGAAGGAAAAAAAATGTTTTTTTAGAAATTTTTTTTCGGAAAATTGAAAAATAGACGAAAATTTGAACCCTTCTGTTCGCTGACCCGTGCAACCGAAAAACCTCGGTTATTTGTACTTAAAATCTTCGAGTGCGAAAAATTCAATCGCGGGTATAATCCTCCTCCACGCTTGGCCAATTTTCCAGTGCCCCTTATTTTCTATTTTTTCGTTAATCACATAATCGCCAATTTACGCGAAACAAATGACAAATTTTCAATTTTCCACGGGGCTAGCGATTTTGGCAATTATGGAGATTTCCGGAGTGGTAAAAAAATGGGCGATAAAAATTCGGGTCGATAAAAAAGTGGATAAAAAGATGGATCCGATGAATCTACGAAATTACCTGAGTGTGCGAGGCGTGGCTCCAGATAGATCGATGCAAACCAGATCATCGTCTTGGCCAATCTGGAAGTAATCTGAAAATCTGGGTTAAGAAATTAGTTTAAATTTTAATTTTCGAGAAAACATTTTACTCAAATTTGATTTTAATTTTACCTGGTTTTCGTTGGAAATTCTTGACCGAGCTGGTCCTCACTGGCCCAGATCGTCTGATAGACAGACTAGTAGACGGATCGGAGTATGCCTTGAAAATGTCGCTTGAACTAGCCCACTTCTTGTTCAGCGTCGTTTCGTCGCTCAAAGTCGTCCCACAAGTTCGGCAAGAAGCGTTCAGTCGCGACATTGTCGATCCGATCGAATGCCTTGGCCGGTTGATGGTCCGGGAGTTGGATCGCAAGACGGTTCGAAATTCAGAACGAGTTGGATTCTCCGGCGCCTTGACCTCCGTTCGCCGCGCCACGTGACCCGCCGAGACATCAGCAGTTCGATGCGGGATGTTCGGCTGGGGATACTCCATCGCTAAAAATACTGTTTTAAAAAGGTCATCGCACAGCTGGAATTCCCAAAAAGCAAATGCCTAACTACAGTAATTGCTTTATGTTGAAGATCAATTTGGAGCTTTCTTTATCTTCCTCTTGGATCGCGAAAAAGCTGAACAAAGTCGAACAAAGAGGGGTTGTGTGATTTTTATAAACGCTTATTATTATCCTCTCATGTGAGGAAGAATAATACTGAAAGGCAGGTTTCACGATTGAGCACTCTTCTGAGCTACTGTAGTTCAGCAAAAAAGGACGACAAAATCAAAAACCAGGAGAAAAGCCGCTTGCGGCTTTGAATGATTTTTTTCCTGGTTAAAATTATGCTTAAAATAAGCTCTGTTTTGAAATAGCCGCGCGCGGCTTTTTTGAAAATCGTAAAAAAAATTATCATATCAAATATAAAAGTCGTAAATAGCCGAAAATTAAGGTCGAAAAGCCGAAAGCGGCTTTTTTTTTCGAGAAAAATTCGAAGTATTCTACCCTTATTTTTTGAACTTACATAAAATTCGCTGAATCTTCTTTCCATAAAACTTGTTCATCGAGTTCTGCTCCTCCATTGAATCTCGGTTTCTCTCCACTGTTGGAAATTTCCCGTTTCTGCTCTTTTCGTTATTCTCAGTTTTTGAAAAAAAAAATCAATTTTGTCCTTGGTCGAAGTTAATTATCTAATATTTCTCCGCTCTTTTTTGAATGAGTGGTGTTGATTGATTTCAAATAATATGGCTCCGGGTTCGCGTGGAGCCAATTTGCCGCGACGATTTTTTTTTGGCGCTAGATGGTGCGAGAGGGGGCGCCTTGTGGGTGGACAGGGTGGTGGAAATCTCGGAACAGCTGGGCGCCCCGCTAAGAAGCCGGTTTGATGTCCGGCTGGGGCTGAGAAGGCCTAAGCAGGAAATGGTGATAAGGGCCTTTTCCGGTGAGAATTTACATTGTATGGATCCGGAAAGATGTCAGTTGGTCAATGATACTAATTTTAGTATTAATTTATCATGATGCTTACAATTTAATCGGCCTGCAGAGATTCAATATCTTCCGAAGCGTGTATCAGATAAAGCTTATTCTTAAAATTTTAATAATATAATGAAGAATATAACAATATGATTTTTGAGTAAGAATTCTAGTAAAAAGTCTAAAAAGCTCAGAGCCTCGTACTAGATGAAGAATCACAATTAATTGATAACTTCTAGAACGGAAAGTCAGATTTCTAGCTGTAAAAACTTCAAATTCACGAATGTTATTCTTGAATCTAGCCATCCGGAGAAGCAAGAATCAGAAAATAATATTTAGAAGGAATTACAACCTGTATCGTTTTGCGCGACTGAATTTATTGGGGCTGTTTCCGGTCCGTAATCAACAAAATTTTGAAGATTCAGACGATACGTCAAAGACTAAAGGCGGCATGAACTAGAACTTTCGTTCGGAAGTTGAAAACATAATGAAAGTCGTAAATCTCGAAATGTCTTTCTCCAGATAAACCCATTTTTATGCCAAAATTATTGCGATTTCGTCAATTTTAATCAAAATAAGCTACTCTTGAATCTGAATTAAGCTTGTGAATTTAAGGGTATCAACTTCGAAGACGCAGAAACTCACGGTTAAAAGCGTTTTCTACCTTCATTTTTTCTATGTTTACCAAACTTTGTCCCCCTTACAAAGGGCCCTTTCAAATCCAAAAACTCCGACATCAATGATCCCTTAGCAAATACTTTTGGGATTTTTCATGTTCCAAATTTTAAATGTTTCAAAAACACTGTTTGCTTCCCACGGAAAGAATCACCGTTTTCCGTCGCATTTTTGAGCAATCATTTCGTCTGGCCATCGGTCGATAATTCGTGGTGATTGCGTTTTCCGTTTTTACGAAGAGTGAATTATGAGCGCATAAAAAAGAGGAGCAATTTTCGAGCCAAAAATTGAACCTCTTGACTCAATAAGTGATCCGTCAGTCTCATAAACCCGGGGGAAGACAGATTGATAGTTTGAGAAATGAGGCTCTCAGAACTATTTTTGGGACGTAATTACCGTTGATTCAAGGGGGTTAGAACAAGATGAATAATCACTCTTGATCTGTGGTCGGCGACCTGTGTAGAAAATCTAAGTCAGGGTCTCAAAGAGCTGAAAGTGAAAAGCTGCTCAGCGCTTTTTTTTAACGAAGCAGCTTTGCGGCTTTTTATATAAAAAAAACAGCTGCGCGGCTTTCGATTTCAGCTCTTTGTGACCCTGACTCAGGTTTTTTACACAGGGTGCCGAGCCAAGTTCTTGAGGTACCGTCAATTCTAAGATTTGGGACATATCGCTTTTTGAGGGGTAAATTAGCATCAAAATATTATTCTTGCATTAGGGACACTCATCCCTTCGCGAGAGCGATTAGCAGGGCCGCGTTTGAACATCAAAAGCCCGTGTCAATTGTTCCTCTCATGTGGATTTCGTGGATTTGTCAAAAAAAAAGGACAGTCGGGGTTCTCTTTTCGATTCATAAATAGAAGAATAAAAGGGCGGGTACTTTGTTGCATGAATTTTTGAATAAACGATTCATCCTCTTCTTTCGATTTTCGAGAAAAAATGATCGGGCAAATGCTAGATTAATAAATTGTTTATTGATTGTCTATCGTCATCCTGTCTGAAACACTAGAAAACTAATCCTCTTTTCTCGCATAAACATCACCCCGTGCCCCTTCAGTTGCAACCATTTACAGCTGGCGGATGTTTTTCCTCGAAAAAGTCGATCGAGCGAGGCCACAATCCCTATCTGCTTGTTCCCAAAATTCAGTTTTGAAAATGTCGCGGATCAGGATCATCGCGCAGGAATCTGTCAATCCACTTTTTCGGCAAGTGGCTGAATTTGATTCTGTGGATGATTTTATTTTTGAGAATTGATTTTAAAAATCAGGATCCTGAAAGATTTTAAAATAAAAGCCGCGCAGCGGCTTCTTGAAATCGTCATTTCAATCTTTACAAAAATTCCAGCGAAGCCGCTTGTTGAGGATTTTAACATAGCTTGCCGAGCCCTTACTGTAAAAAAAACCCTGTCAAAAAAGGAGTTACTGAACAAACGACGCAATTATTTCACTCATTGAGCTGTCAAAATCTAACCCCTCCTGATCCGCGAATCTCATCCCTTCAATTATCGCCTTAGCTGTCAAAGAGTCTGTCCTCGTTTTTAAATTTTCCTTTTTTCCACCTTCCTTGCGTCGAAATCGAAGGCGGGAAATTTCATTACAGCAGAAGCTCGCTAATTTTGGACATATTGCGAGAGTTGCTCGATGATTTCTATCACTGCGCCACTTCAAACGCGGCGCGTGGAGGGCGTCTTCATCTGGTGCGCTAAATAAATCATGCCGGGCGTTTTATCTTTGCGCATTTGTTGCCGATTAGGGAAGGCAGGTCAGCCATCGTCAAAGTCAAGATCAAAAAAATAGAAGTGATGAGGGTGATTAATGGTCGCCACTGAAAATGTAACGAATGTAACGGATGTAACGAATGTAACGAATTTACTGAAAATGTAACGAAGACAGAGACATGTTGTTGTTAATCAGCTGATTCTAGAAACTTTTTCCAAAAAGCGATATTCTGGAGCATCATTTCAAATGAGATTAGAACACCCCTAAAATAGCATATAAATAAAAAAAAAGTGCACAGTAGTATTTAAAAAGGTTTATTATCTGATTTAGTTTGTCTCTTAGAGATAAATCCAGTGAAAACGCCCGCTCCGCGGCTGAAATGGTAGGAAACTCAAGGGGGTGAAATAAGAAAAACAAAAAATCTCTAGAATTTTACTGAAAATGTAACGAGAAAAAGACATGTTTTTGTTGTTTGCGTTACATTTGTTACATTCGTTACATTTTCAGTGCCGTCGTGATTAATTAATCAATAAGAAAAAGAAGGAGATACCGCAGAGATCGGATCTTTCGACAAATTTCTCTCTAGAGTTCTAGAAATTCATAAGGAAATTAAAGGAGGTCTCCTCCTTGATTTCAGAGGGTTAGGGTTAGGTTTAAGTAGAGCAAAATTTCAGGCTCCAGATTTGTTTTTTTCTCAAATGGAAAGAATCGATAAATTCCTGCGATTGATTGTTTTTTCTAGTTCAAAATAAATCCATCTAAGACCAAAATCAAATAAAACGAGGCGCACCTGTTTGACTCGCTACCCTGTCAGGAACAGGTCAACATTGTCACGCCGAGTCTATTTGACCCTCGGCTGGGGGGCAAATAATCGGCTCGCAGGAACAGTTACTGTCTGCAATACCGGGATATCGTAAGTGTTTATAATGATAACCTGTTGGGATTTTTGTGTATCTTCCAAATATTTTCATTTTTCAGCCTTTTCCGCCCCGTTTTTCTGTTAAAAATCTCGCGAAACTGAATCCATTTCCTGCTTCGAGCAAAACAGCTGTTCGCAAAATTCTAATCCCTTCTCAGCCGTTGATGAAAAAACACGAACTCCCTATCACGCGTAGCGGAACTTTCTAAATCGCGCGAAATTACCGCAAATTATTCAAATCCGATCTCACGGGCACAGAACTTTGCGAAATTCTTTATAAACAATTTTTCGTTCAGAAAGGGGGAGAATTTTTCCCACTGAGATAATCTGGCGGAAAATGCACAGATGTTGCTCTGAAAGGGTGAATTCTAATTAATAAAAGAAAAAAGGGGATTTTGTGGAAATCGGATTGGAGAGTAACGAAGCCTTTGGGATTGCTGCTGCTTCATTTCTCGGAGAACAGAGCGATACCAGTTCATTGTTCCATCATCGACCTTTTGAAGGAATCGTCTGAGTCTTTTGATAATTTGGGTCCCCAATTTCGGGGATAGTAGAGCCCCTCCTAACCCTTACCTAAGAACTCCCTCCTCGATAAGTCTCTTTTATAAAGAGTCCATGTTCATTTCACCCTAAACATGAGAAAGACTCAAAAGAACAGTCATTTTCGGGCGGTAGAAGGCGATTATCTTTAGAGCTCCTCCTAACCCTATATCAAACAAGGGGGCTAGTCCCCATGATCTTCACTCTAAGGCCTTAACCAGGGGGCATCGCCCCCCCCCCGGATCCCCCCTTAAGAAGTCCCAATCCCTACCCCTTATTCCTAAAGATTCTAGAGATATTAGATGGCTCGACTGATAGCCCCTCTCTACGTTTTGAGCGCCCTACTGACCCTCCTTATCGATATTCGGGAGGGTAAGACTCTTCCCTTTCCTTCAAATTTTCAAAGAAAAATGGTCCTTCACTGAGTGGTCTACTCATTTGCTTGATGATTTTTCTTCTTTCTTTTTCTGCTTCTTCGTCTAATCTTCCAGTTCTCCTTCAAAAAAAGTATAATTCTCTCTTTTAATTTATCTTTCTCTGCCGCTCTAGAATTTCTAGAACCGCAGAGCTCACATCACACCTGTATATTCTACCGCCGGCTTCGATCGACATTTCCCACCGACGAGAAACGAAAAAGTTTAATTTATCTGCTGAGTGTTTTTTTTTCAGTCTGAGAGAATCTTTTATTTGAGATTTGGTGGTTAGCCGCACTCAATTAGAAATAATTGAGGCTCAGAAGGGTTGAGCGCGATCACCGATCAGGCAGAGCACGGGCAATTTAAAAGATTGAAAAAAGGGGGATGAAGAAATATCTATAGTTATGACTCATTCGTTTTCTGATGCGGTTGAAATTATCCTCCATGATATCAAGTTATGATTTTATATTGAAACAGATTCAAAAGCGACTTTATGCAATTTTATCGTAAAGAGACAAGGCTTGGCAAATCGACTGAAAATTTTTTTCAAAAAATAAATAGAAAATAAATCCATACTTTGTCATTTTTAGCGCCGCGAAGAAATTCTTCCTTTGATAGCTCACCATCTCCGTTCTTCAAATATTTAAAACAAATTTTAAAATAATGAACTTACAATGTCCATTTTTGAGAAAATCCTGTCGACTCGTGATTCGGGGGAAAGGCTGTTTTGGGCAAACCGCTCGTCAGAACCCAACAAAGAAAAGATCGCTTCGACGATTTCGAGCATTTCTTCTTTTGTTATCGTCCCACTATTGTCCAAATCGTACAACTGGAAGGCCCCTAAAGACGGTTTTGGTTTGTCGAAGAAAAGTTCACGTTACATTCGAGCTTTTCTTCTACATTGCCTCTTGAAGTAATTGATAGTGCTTGGAGAAATTCACTTTTTGAGTTTTCTCTTTGAAATATTTTCCATTTCTTTTTAGAAGAAAACGCTCCAGAACTCGATAGATCCGTCGCCATTCTTGTCGAAAACGTTGAATACAAATTTAGCAAAAATTCTAGCGTCGCCATTTGGGAAGAATTTTTGGTAGATTTCTGCGAACTCGCTTTTTGAAAGTTTTCCGGTGGGGCAATCTCTTTGGAATCCAGCAAACCAGAGCTTTATTTCTTCTTCTGTGACTTCAAAAAGGAAGTTAGAAATAAGACGATTTTTTGAGATTACAGGAGGTTTTTTCAGTCAGATCGTTGATTTCTTTTTTGCTCAATTTTGATTTACTCGCTCCCATTTTCGTGTTTCTTTGAGAATCTCTCTTTTTGAAAGTGCAGCTTTAGAATTATTGAGGGTTTCCTAATTGCCTCACAAAAAGAGAAAGTTTCAAAAGTAGTTGGAGATAATTCCTGCCAGGAGATAGTTCAGTCATATTTGGGAAGTGAGTATTTTGCTCAAAGAATATTTATACAGCAGTAAAGATTCAGTTGTCTCTGTCCTTCTTTTATGATTCATCAGGATAGCAGGAATCCAGTGAAACTTGACCACCCAAAGTCGACTTTACCACTTTCTAATCGAACTTCAACCGTGTCATTTTCTTTCAGATTAATCACTGCAGAAGTTGTTATCGTAACATAAGCCGGCTTGAAAAGATTTGAATGATGATATTTTATATTTATTTAATAATATGATTAATTTCTATTCACCGAACTTGTTGCAACTGAAACGAACTCGCGGTTCCAATAAATTGCTATCCTTGTACTGCTCTTTTCAGTCTTGAAGGGGTTTTAATTTTCTCGATTATTGTTGTAATTTTATTTATTCTCAAAAGGTACAAAGATTGTTAAAAACCTGTTCATGAACTGACGTACTAAAATAATAAACACCATCAACCGGTGCTATGAATTTGCCACTTGACGCATCCAGTCCACCATTATTAGGGTTATATTCATTCAAATTCATCTTAACATCTTTGAACGGAATGACAGTGTTAGCCAAGCAGAAATCGGGGCTTGGGAGTAAAGCTCTAAAAGCGACTCGTCGCTTTGGCTCATATGGTTCGCCAGGTTCTCCTTTTTTTCCAGTTTTTCCAATCGTGCCTTGTTCACCAGTAATGGCATCTCCCTTCGGTCCAGCAGGACCAGGTTCCCCGATTCCAATGTCTCCTTTTTCGCCAACAGGTCCCCTCGCGCCTTTTTCTCCTGGGAGCCCAACGAGGCCATCGCGACCATCGCGTCCATTGCTTCCATCTTTGCCGTCTCGCCCATCTCTTCCTGGATAAAAAGGGCCGACCGAAGAACATTGGGTCTCGTTATTCTTGGGTTCTAAAATTCGTGGTGTCGACCTCGACAAAACGTCACATTGATCAATCGCTTCAGTGAAATCCGTTCGACAATCTCTAGCGCATTCGAAATTTTCGCTTTTATGGTTTGAAAATCAGTTAATTTTGTTATCAACACTCATTTCAAATCTGCTTGTGTCAATTGGAAATGCATTTTTTCAAGACTTCTTCGGCTAAAAGATATTTATACAACATATATATATGAGTTTGTAAATGACATCTTGTTGATAAATGTTGAGTTTATTAGTAGATTTCGGCAGAACGTTTTCTCTAAGAGTTCAGTAGTTTTCACTTTACAAGGCACTGAAGATGGTTACACAAGAAAACCGAAAACGTTCTGCCGAAATCTACTAATAAACTCAACATATATATATATATATAAAATCGCCTGAATTTCGAAACTTACTTTGCTCCCTACAGCTGGCCCGTATATTCTGAGAAACAATCGACCGAGCGAGGAAAACAAAAACCAAAAATATCATTCTCTGGACCCCAGAGTCTGGAGGAATAAAATCTTCAGAGTATGATAAACTTTAAAGTGATTTTATTTGGATAGGACCTACTTCCACAAGATACTCGTTTCCTTTATTTAAATCAATCAACTATCAGAGGTACTTTCGCCCGAAGGCACCTTCCGCTCTAAATGTTTATACTGAGAACATTTCATTATGTTGCTGTTAGCGGCGAAGACATTCAAAGAGAAAAATGGATAAAAACTTTTATTCAATTTCAGGATCAGTTTTTTACAAAAAAATCTATGATATTCGATTAACATTGTGAAAAACAAACAACAGTTGTTTATTTTCTTCTATGTTTTCTTCTTTTTTACCTCAATATCTCATTCGCGAGAATTGAAACAGTCCCAAAAGTTTCGGAATTCGTCGTTCCATTTGTAGATCATAGAGCGTCTATGATGAGAAAGCCAATTATCAGGCCTACGAAAGCGACAAAACATCGTGTGAGAATAGTAGATGCTCCATCAAATAATGTAGCGGAGTCAAATAAATGCAGCGCTGATGCAAAAGAAGGCGAAGAAGGTCAATTCAACCCGATCATGGTCATGTCCGTCAAGGGTTCTGGAAACACTTGGACAAGACAACTGCTACAGGCTATTACAGGCGTTTATGCAGGAAGCATGCTGCATGTATGGCGAAATCGGCGAAGAGATGAATACGGAAGAGAAATTCAGAGAAGCAGATTGGCCGGGAGGCCATTTTGATCCTCTTTCTGGTCGACTTATCGGTAAGAAAGCTTGTTTTTCCCTTTTTTCAAGGCTTTTTTAGGGATAAAAACGCACGCTAAACATCATCTCGAATTAGCATCATCTATCATCTTCATTATTCGAAATCCGTACGACACCTTCAAATCCGAATTCAACCGAAAACGAGGTCACGTCCTTCCTGGTGAAAATGCTCACACAAAAGTCGTCGATCCTCGAATGTTCGCTGGTGATGCATGGAGACGAAACGTAGCGAAATTCAGTTCCCAATGGAATGGCTTTTATGAGACTCTAATCAAAGAAGCAAAAGAGGCAGAAAAGAATTACTACTTGTTGTTCTATGAAAACTTGAAAATCGATCTCGTCGGGGAAGCACGAAAAATCTACGATTTCTTGCAAAAAGACGCACTCAAAAGTGGAGAAGTTTTTACCGTTGAAAACATAGAAGACAGATTAAAGTGCATCGGAGAGGAGGATTTTTCAAAGTTCAAAAGGAAGCATCAGGAGCTGTCTTTTGAACTCTATACTGACGGTAAACTTTTAAGAGAAAACCATAAATTTTTCTATCATTTTATTAGATGTTTTTCCTTAGAAATTTCAAAATGAAAATTAAATCTTACCATTATCAAATTCTTCTTCGTCAAAGTAATTTAGATGAAAAGCTTAAAATCAACCAAAAAATCAACAACATCACTGAATTCTTCCGCGAAAACAATATTGACTATCCAAAAGACATCGTTTCTCGCTGGTTACAGTAGATTTTTTTCTTACTTCAACAATATCTTCAATAAACATATAATATGTTACATATTCATTGTCGCTTCCCTGATGTCGATTCTCGAAATTAAATCAAATTTCTTAAGAAACAGAAAGTAAAAATATTCCTTGACAACTTGTATTTTTTCTAATGTCTTAGAGATGAAATACATCATTTAAAACATCTATTTTCTCCGCAACAATTCGGATTCTGTAAGAGTCGAAATATATTACTTTCTCTTAAAAATATATTATTAAGGAACCCCCGTCAACAATTTTCCTCGAAAAATCAAAAATTTCCAAAAAAGCCATATTTTGGCTTCTAAGCGTGTCTGTAAGTTCAATTTATCTTAAAAACTTGTTCGGAGTACTTTTTGACGAATAAAAATCTGAAATTATAGCAAAATTTAGACTTTTTCGTCATTTTTCGTCAAAAAGTCCAATTTTCAAACGCGATTTTTAGGGTGAAGGAGTCGAGATAGACCCCCAAAAAAGGAAGCCTCAAAATCGTTTTTTGGCCCGTAGAGTCCATTTCCGGGGTCAAAATTTTGAATTTCCGAAAATAGTTTTTTCGAAAATTGTTGACGGGGGGGGGGTCCTTAAAAACGTCTGTTTTGGTGCTTTTGCAGCATTCATGAAGCATCAGTGATGCAGCATCACCTTAAAATTGAAAAAATCATTTTTTATTGCCTCTCATTTTCGAGTTTGCCACAAAAGCCCTCAAGAACGCCGACAAGTCAAGTGGCCAAAGATCGCGTGCAACGATTCGGCCTCTTAAAATTCTCACTGAATTTTTCTGTACTCAAAAATACTTCTTATGGGCGTTACTGATTCTCTCAGTTTCAAGATTGTTCCACTAAAATTGACCTCTTTTTTGAATTTTTTCGAATGAAAAGGTCTTCTCTCAGCAATTAATAAGAGAATGAGATCGGGATTGATGTAAGAATTTCTTGTCAAAAACCATTTTCGCTCTAGAATTTCTCTTGTTTAAGCGAAAAGACTAAGCCGCCCTTTGAAAGCGAAAAAAATAAACAAAATGTACAGAACTCAAATAAATACGCCGAAATACAACCGGTTAAAAGTCGCGAAAAGGCTCTTATCAGTGTTTTCAGTTTCTTTATCTGCGGAGCGCGGGAACTCTGAAGGGCGCCCTCTGAGCGTTCTCGAGTCGCGCACTTCTAGCGCGCGTTCACGTTATAAGCGCTTCTTTCACAGACTCAAGCTCTTCCACCAAAATTTTTTGAACACAAATGAACAAAAAATAAATAGAGAAAAAAATTGAAAAAAATGCAGAGATCTATTTCAATGAGAAGTTTTAACGAAGATATTTATGGACAAAGAAGAGTTTATGAAGGAAATGATCAAAAAAATTGAAGAAAAAATATTTTCGCCAAATACTTTATTTTGAATTTGGCGCCCTTTTTAAATTGGGTAATTTAAAAAGAGAAAAGTTTCGACTTGGTTTTTTCTGACTTATTATTATAAAAAAATCGCCTTTTACTCGTTTTTGAATTTCGCGCATTTATAATCGCGTAATTATTGGTTTAGTTCTTTTTTTATCAATTTTCCCCTTTATTACTTAAATTCTGTATTTCCCGAACTGATTTTTGCCCCCTTCTATTTTGTATCCACCGTCAATCTTCAAGAACTAATCTGTCTCGAGCATGTTATTCTCCTCCCGCGCATTTCAGAACAAAAACACGCACAGGAAGAATGCAGGATCGGAAGAATCAACTACCGACGCGTTCTCTAATAACAGTGCCCCGCGGTTTTTGGACCTCTTAGTCGACCTAAGAGCGGGATTCTAGAGAGCGATGCAAACCCAATTACGCGCTTGTCAAAAATTCCGGTTCTGAACTGCAACTTTCTTTTTTCAGGGTCTTAAGATTCAAAGCTCTTCCTTACTGTTTTTTTTTTGAAAGACAAAAAATGAGTTGGAAAATGCATGAATTTTCTGAATTTGTTATTGCTCATTTTCAGTTTCTGTGGCGATAACCTCTTATCACGAGCGCGGGTGACTGGCAATTATCAGCGAAATTGGCATTCAAGAGTTTTGGCTCCGAAGTTAATGCGATAACAACTCTGCAATTTTCGTACTTTTCCTACAATCATACTTTTTCGCTCTCAATCTTGTGTTTTTCGAACATGTTTAGGAGGCTAGATAACTAATCGTTTTTTTTTTTCAACAATGATAAATGACCTTTCTTGAGAAAAAAAACAGGGTAGAACCAATTTTCGGAACAGATTTTTATGGAAAGGGTTTTGATTGGCCGATAGGCAAAATGTAGGAATCTTATTGGTAATTCAAAAATTCACATCTAAAATTTGGTTTAGTCCAAAAAACCTGCATTTTTGATTTTTGACTTTGATTTTGTGCTGTTTTTGACTGTAAAAGACAATAAACAAACAAAATAACAGGGAAAATTACCCAGTTAGAAGGCAAGATCGCGGTAGAACTTTGGATTTTCGGTCTGTAATCTTCAATTCAAAATTCGCAATGCTGATCATTATGATAAGACCACAGAATGCCCCCGAATCTGACTGGTGGATTTGCGCCGCCGGAGCAGCACGGCGGCCGCGGAGTCAACCACAATTTGTCATATCGTCCGATTGATCCGAGTCAACATCGGATGAGACAACCGCCGCCTAGTTCTTACGGTTCCATTCCTGCTAGTGCCAGTTCCAACCCCGTGCAGGTAATTTTCGCGACAAAGAGCGTCCTGAGCGCAGGTGTCAAAATATTATCCCTTGAATTTGACAGGCACCGGATGGCCTTTGCAGGATAAGCCGCAGCTTCCCCCCTTTTTGCGAGACCACATGATTAATTTTGTAAATATTAAGGGAACCCTCAGCTTAAAAACATGATGATAGCTTGAACTTGTTTTGCAGGTGTTAATCACTAAAATTATTTTTGAATCGATTTTTTGCACGAAACAAAGAAAGCCGCGGGCGGCTTTTTCAGATTTAATTTTTAAAAAAATTTAATTTTTATAAATTTCTATCAAAAAAATTTTTTTTCAAGAAAATAAATTTGAAAAAAAATTCTGAAAAAGCCGCGAGCGGCTTTTTTGTTTCAATTCACGTGAAGCCGCAAGCGTTTTTTTTTTCTGTTAAAAATTAGCTTATTTTATAAAAAAAGTTTTACCGAAAAGAGCGGCCCAAATGGAGCACGTGATATTTAACGTTCATTGAATACACGGATTAGCCAAAAATCACGTTAGGTGCGCTCCATGCTCCTAATAGACGTGCAAATACAACGCCTTCCTCTTTTTGCAACCCCTGCCAATCTGAATTCAGGACGAACAGCGATTAAAAGAACTGGCTGGAAGACTCGGCCTGCTAGAAAATCAGCATCGACAAACAATGGAGATTGTTTTTGGTCTCAAAAATCAGGTAAAAAGCGGAAAGAAATGATATTAATTTTTTTCAAAACCTGAGTCAGGGCCTAAAATTACAAAATGAAAAGCCGCTCTGCGGCTTTTTTCAAAATGAAGCCGCGTAGCGGCTTTGCAAATATAACTCTTTTGATCTATTTTAAATTCTAGCGAAGCCCCGCTGCGGCTTTTTATTCGAAAAAGCCGCTTTGCGGCTTTTCATTTTAGCTTCTTCAGACCCTGAGTCAGGTCTTCAACACAGGTTTCCGAGTCCATATTTTGCCCAGGCCTGATTTATTCGGCGAAATATATGAATTGAATATAAAATAAAAATTGTCCGTTTCCTTGTTTTGGGAAAATATCGTATCCGCTTGGAAATTTAATTGAGGCGGAAAAATATTGATATTAAAACTGCCAAAATGAGCAGCGAAAAAGTATAAACAGGAAGGATAATTCATTAATTTAAAAAGTGACCTCAGAAAATTGACACGGAGTACGGGACTTAGGGATGCAAATCAGACAGAAACCGCGAAATGAGATTATGCTAATGCCCGCAGAAACAAGTTACTTTCAGCTTTTTTTTTTGGAGTTCTCTCTCAGGTTTTTGAGGAGCTTTACACACGTCGAAATTAATTTGGGGGAATTAATTTAATTTTACACAGTTCTGAAGCGTCAAAGAAAAGTTACGGTTTTTATTTTGATATTCAATACAGTTCAACACTATTAATCTGTAACTAAAATAATAAATTCAGCAATAATGATTTTTTGAATTTTTATCTAGAGTTACAGTGACATTATTGGAATATGATTTATCAACAATTTTATTAAAGTGAGGTTAACGATCATATATCATCAGAATTTGAGTTTGCTGAATTTTACGAATTATTCTTTTTAAAAAATGAAGTTACAGTATGTTTAAATAAAAGCTTTATGGTTTTTTGAAGAAATTATCTAGAATTTTTTTTTTTGTTATCGAAAAATCGATGTCAATAAGAATATAAAAATTCTACAATTAAGCACTTTTTGTCTAATCCCTAAGTTTAGCTACAAAATTGAGTACGCGCTGAACTGAATTTCAAGAGGAAAAGGATTTGAAGGAAGCCGGAAGAAATCCGGCGCATACATTTTTCACGTTTGTAATCTTTCCTGTTATCCGTCCTCTTTGAAACTCGATTCTCCGGTAATCTAATAAAAAAGAAGACAGAAATTTAATTGAACGTCTGATTTTTTGTCTGAGAGTCTCTCTTTTTGACGACTCGGGCAATCGATCAAACTCAAGTATGTCCTCATTTCCGTCCTTGAGAAAATCTGAAATGAGAAAATTTGGACTCTCAATTTTCTCGGACGAGAAATTAAGAACCCCCGTCAGCTTTTTCGAAAAATCAAATTTCGGAATTTTAGATTGGACTTTTCGCCAAAAATTGACGAAGTTGCCCTAATTTTGCCAAAAATGTTTATTTTTCTTGGTCGAAAACTCCTCTTATCAAGTTTTTGAAGCAAGTCTAACCTGAGGAATCATTGAGAACCAAAACTATGGCATTTTTCAAAATTTCAATTTTTCGAAGGAAAAAGCTGACGGGGGTCCTTAAGGGTTCCTCCGCTCATTTCGTCAAATCATAATCCATCCTGATTTTCCTTCGTTTTTCTGTTGGGATTAACAAGAAAAAATCCGCAGCTACTTTTTTCCCTCTTCCGGCTTACGGGCACAAAGCTCAAACAATCCGGGAGCTTGGATAAACTCTAAAAGAAAATTTTTCAGAAGTCGATTTCTCAGCAAGAAAATCCAGAAATCGCCACCGCCGTCCGAACAAATGGCGAGCACATAAAACAGCTCCACGCCCGATTTCGCGGCTTCGAAGAAGCGATTCAAACGAACCGAGGCCGCGATGAAAAAATTGAAACGCAACTCAATGCAATTCAAGATGTCGTACTCAGCGAGCTCGGAGATCCGCACAAAATGGAGAGTATGAAGGATTTGTCCAGAGTAAGTTTGGTTTTGAGACTTTGATTTGAGAGGTTGAGAAAGGGCGGGGGAGCAATTCCGCGCTGGAGGAGGCGTAATTAGCGTGGCACGTGAGGAATGTTTGTTTAGAACCTTTACGTTCTTAGCTCTTGCACTTATTTTGAAGCTTTTTGATTGAGGATTCATGAATCTTATTAATTGGCCTTCTTTACACGAGGTGATCTATTAACACTCAGACTAGTCCTATCGGTCAAAATACTTGTTTCGGCTCGGTTTCAGAAAATGCGAAAAAACTTCATCCCTATTCAAAAAAATTGCTCTTACGGTCTTTCAATAATTTGAATACATTCTAGAGAATCGGAAGTTTCAGTTGCAGTAGTTGTCGGTGGAGTATTTCGAAAAAGTCTAAGTAGACACAAATTGTGACATAATTCTGACTGGATTTAGTTATCATATTGTCATTACGATAAGGAGCATAATAAATAGAAAATTATACCTAACTAAGGCTGTTTGCTAAATGCGATATCGATGTTTAAAAATTGTTTTCAGATTTCCTTACTCTGTAATTTCTGAACCATTCTTAAACAAAGTGAGGTTATGGCCCCTGGAAAATACCTCTAGAAAAAAAATTGCATTTTTAAAAAAGACAATAACTACTATGGAAAAAACGCGGAACAATGAGCATTCTATAAAAATTATAGTAATTCCAGTGCTCTAAATTCGCTTCATAATGATTCCTCTTGACCAGCTCCCCTTGCTCCTCCCTTATCAATATGTATTAGGCCATTGTAGTAAGTACAAAAACGCTCCATCGTAGTATCCCGCCGAGATAGACATTCTAGTGCCGGCGGCAATGTTCAGAGCGAAACCGCGTTTGGTATTTGCGTTTTTCGTTCTCATTGGCCCATGACACCTTCTTTTTATCTTTTCTCAACCCTTTAGTAGTCCGGTAGAAACATTTAGTATATATTTTCGACTCAAAAAACGATTCAGAATTGCGATAGAATTCATGCAGAGCTAAACGAGCTGAGAACAGAGCTGGACGCGGGAAATTATCAGGTAAAACAAACTTCTATTTTCGGCTCGAAAAATATTTTTTTCAATTATTAATATAATATAATATAATATAATATAATATAATATAATATAATATAATATAATATAATATAATATAATATAATATAATATAATATAATATAATATAATATAATATAATATAATATAATATAATATAATATAATATAATAATATATCAATTCTAGGGACCAAAGCTTCAAATCCAAGTGATGCCGAACACCGACGATGGCAAAAACTTCGTTACGCTCTCCGAGCTGCGTAAATACATCATGATGGCGGCGGACGAAATGTCATCAACGATGAAAACCTACCTCGACGACAAAATCGACACGATGGAACACGACTTGTCCGACATCCGGAAAGAGGTCAAATCCGAGCGCAAGCGAAATGAACAGCTTGAGGCTCGGCTTCATAACTTCGAATCGCAGCAGAATAGTATGAATGGAATGAATAGAAGGACGAATTCGGGGCAATACTCACCTGAGCTCGTGAAAAAGCGTTCTTTTGACCAGTTGGTCAAGGAAGTCGATCAGTGCTTCTCAGAACTTGGCCGGCAAGTCAAACGAGAAGCGAAAGGAAGAGCAAACATAGAAGAGCAGCTCGATCAAATTCAAAACAACGGCAACTTCCCCCAGCCAAGAAACGACCCTGCAATGGATCAGCGAATTGCAAAGGTAGAAGCTGCCCTGGCGGACTTGAAAAAGGACACGAAGAAGGAACGAAAGAGGATCGAAAAAGCCCTCGAAGCCCAAGCGAATTCCGGACCGGATATGACAGCTGTTGAAGACACCATCCAGTCGATCATCACCGATGTCGTCGAAGAACTGACCACCAACGAAGCCCGATTGTACGAATCCGTCGAAAGGAGAATGAAAGACCTGGAAGAAACAGTCCAATCAGAGACAACAGCTCGTTCGATTTCCGAACGAAAAGCAAACAGCGAGCTCCGCCGGGTATCAGCTTTAGTCGATGCTGGAAAAACCGGCCTTCGACGAAATTCTAGCGCTGAAGAGACCACAAAAACGATCGACCTCCCTCTTGGTGTTGATGAGTTACGAGTGACCGTGGCTTCTCTAAAGGAGCAACTGGGCTTGTTTGAGGAAGAAAGCGCAGAAGCAAAGCGTCAATTCGACACTTCTAGCGCTAGTTTCAAGAAAGACCTCGAAGAATTCCGAAAATCGCTGCACAAAACTGAAAACAACGAGCGAGAAGTAGCACGAAAAATCGAAAAGATCGAGAAGGGCCTGGTAGGAGCTCAAAGTGCCGCTCCTGGCCGTACGGTCTCTATTGGACCGGATACTGGCGATGTTATGAGCTTGAAGAAACAATTGAAGGACTTGGAGACGAAGATGGACAAAATCAAGGCGGAAAATGAGGCGAGTCCGAAGTCGAGTCTGAACGACAACAAAATTTCACCGGCAATAGCGAAGATGAATGAACAAGTGTTAGATCTAGAGACTTCTTTGACAGCTCTAAGGAACTTGTTTCTTTAAATAATTCTTAAAACAATAAGTCTTAATAATTTTGTTCGAATATTTATTTTCTATACCACACTTGATTGAGAGAATAACTTAACCCTCAAGACATTTGTCAAGCTTAATAATAGATGCTGCCATTTATAAATGAGTCAAAAGAAATCAAGTGGACGCCGACCGAAATCGCCTTGATAATATCCGCACTGAAAGTCTTGGCAAAATCAAAGCAGTTCGCGAAGAAGTTCGATTAATCAAAACTTGCCAGCCAAGCTCAGAATCCAAGGGGCCTAAAGTCGATGTTCTTGTCTCCCAGGATGTGTTGAAAAAAGCTGACGCAAGTGAAATCACCAAGGACGATCTCGAACGAATCTTCGCAAAGATTGAAAAGCTCGAAGCAAAAAATATGACTCCTGGCGTTTCTCTTGGGCAAACTGAACTGATGAGAGAGTTTGAATGCTTGAGCGATGAGAATCAGCGACTTTGGAGAAGTTTGACGAAGCTCGAGGAAGAAATCAAACTCGGCGCGAAAGCAGGAGAAGAATGTTCTGATGAAAATTCACCCGGGGCCCTCGCGAATGCAATAAATCAGTTCCAGAAGCAAATTGGCACGCCAGATTTGACAGGCGAGCTAGAAATCAGGCTCAAAAAGATCGAACGCGAGTTGAGCGAGAAAACCGACCGCGGGACGGATCGTCTTTGGCGCCATCTCTCGAATCTTGAAGAGCAGATTACACGACGCCATGGCGAAAATGACGAGCGACTCAGCAAACTTGAAGCGATTCCGAACACGGATTCTAGAGAAAACGCTTCGGAAATCTCCGTCGCTACCACTTCCGAAAGCTCTCTAACTGAAAACAAGAACAGCCAATTATGGAAGGAAATCGGAAGTCTGAAGGCAAAAATGTCCGAAATTATAGGTCGCGATTTGCTGGATTTGAAGAAAAAGCTGAATACTTCCGCTCAACGGGCTGATGTTAGAAGAATTATTCTTGACATCGAAAATCTCAAGGTTGATTCTTTGTCGCCAATGGAGGAGAAGATCAAAAACCTGGAGAAGGAAATATCCGATTTGCCGAAAATCAACCCATCTGATCTAACCGCGAAAAAGCAGATCCCAATAGGGGCTCCAAAAGTTTCAGGGCTGGGCTCGGCAAACTGTTTGGAAAACCTGAGTCAGGGTCGAAAGATCTCTTATGAATTTAATAGCAGATAGGACAGGTCATTATTAAAAGCCGCTTCGCGGCTTAATTTTCAAAAAAGCCGCTACGCGGCTTTTCACAAGAGAGTTTTTAGACCCTGACTCAGGTTTTCGACACAGGTTGCTGAGCCCTTTTCAGTCATTTCCGACAGCAATCGCGAAGAATGGGAAAGAACCTTGATCACCAAAGATGATATGAAGGAATTCGAAGAGAAGCTGAACAAGTTCAGGGATTATTGGGTCGCGGAGAGCTCGAAATATGCGAAAATCGGAATGCTGGAGATATTTACTGACGATTTGAGCGGACTGAAGGCGCAGGTGGATGATCTGCTCGTGAATGAGAGGGGAACGGTGAAGGCGCTCGAGGATCGAATGGAAATTCTTGCTGAAGATTTGGAAGAAAATATGACCAACGCTAGAACTGAAGGTATACTTTCCGCTTACTTCTTTATTTCAACGATTTTTCTAGATCGCAACTACATCGAGCGCCAATTAAAGACCATCGAAGTCAACGGCGTCGCTGCCCATGTCATGGAAGATCTTGCCAGCCTCCAGCACGTCGTCTCTAGAATTTCCGCCCAGCTTGAAATGCTCAAGGATACTGACGCCTCGCTCACAGAGACTCCTACAGTTTCCGAGCAAACACCTACTCCTTATTCGGAAGAACAAAGCGCTGAAACCTCTGAAACAGCTTCCACAGTGACTCAAACTGTCAGCCTTCCCAAAGTGCCGATCGTCCATGCAATCAACAAGGAAGCAGTTATTGCCGAAGTCAAAGCATTCGTCGAAGGAAAACTGAAATACTTCAACCCCGAAAATGGCTCCCAAAATGAAGGGTTGCTGAAAATGGTTCGCGAACGAGTCAGTCGATTGGAAGATGAAGTCGCCTTGGCTCGAAAAGAGGATCAAACAAACTGCGACAACTTGAAGCGTCAAATTTTCGCTCTCCGAGATGACCTGGAAAATCGAAAGCCAGAATTTGCCCTCCCTTCGGTTTCTTCTCAAAAAGCACCGGAACTCGCGCCGATAAAGGAGAAACTCGCAGCTATCGAAGAAAACAACGCGGTTCTTGAGAAATCGATTCTTTCGCTAGTCACAAAAATGGATTCCAAGATCGACGGGATCGACAACAAGTGCGAACGAACTGTCAAGTCTCAAATGGCGCTCGAAGAACATGTGGATAATCTAGAAGACAGAGTTACGGAAAATCAACATGGAGTGACCTCCGTGTCTACTCCCAGCATCCCACCTGCGTTTTTCGACCTTTCACCTGAAATCTTCGATGATAAGCTGGAACTGCTCACTGATAAGGTCAAGGAGCTCATGTCCGACAAGAAGATTCTCTCCGACCGTCTTGATATCGTCGAAGAAGAGCTAGAAACGAACGACCGATTTTTGATCGAATCAATTTCCGCCGAAAAAGCACAAGAAATTGCCAAAAGAATTGCTCAAAGCGAATCGAAAAAGCTCGAAGAAGAACTGAAATCGATTCATGAAAAGTTTCAAAACTTGAAAATTGATTCAACTAAACAAGAGCCGGAGTTGAAGAGAAATGAATCGGAAGAGATTCCGAAGTTTATCAAGAGTGTTTCGATGGGTGAAATTGGTGGTACTGGCAATTTGGATTACGAAAAGTTGATTGACGAAGTGAAGGAAATTGCCGAAAAAGGTACTGCCAATAACGTATTAAAGAATAAGACTGAGACTAGAAAAGTTGTCGAGAATTAGGGAACCATAATTTTTTTCTTTCATAAAGAAGTAAATATATTTTTAATGTATACAATCGCGAACATTAAGCTAAAACGTCGTCATAAAAGTGGATGCCATCAGGAGCAGTAGCTAGACACATCTTTTTTAAATTTTAACAACTAACCCCTAGTCTATTCAGCAACAAAAGACCTGACCTTCCACGACGAGATGTTCGACTTGGTACAGAAACGTCTTCAAGCTCTAGAAACCCACATTTCCGAGCTCCCCTTGGCCCCTGAATCTTCCCCAACTCAAGCATCTCCCTCATCGGAAGCTCTATCGTCTCTAGAAGAAAAACTCGGAGACCTAGAAAAGTCCACATCGCAAAATTCCAAGAAATCCGAAAAGATGTCAAAAGAACTCGATGATCTCCGCTCCAAATTAAAGAAGAACAACAATTCGCTGACGAGAAAACTCGGAGACGTCGAGGATGAAATTCTGTCAGAACTGGCAAAGACGAAAATTCTCGTCGAATCGGCAAAAACTCACAAAGAAGTTCAGCGATCATTCGATCAAGTCGGCGCGATGGATCTGCCGAAAATGGCACCCGATGTAAAAACGGGATCGCCGATCAGCATGCAGGAGAGCTTCAAGCTCAGAAACCAAATTCAGGACATGTGGAAATCGTTGCGACTCGATATTGCCCATCGAACGGCGAATTTGGAAAAATTGTCCAAAAGTGAGCTTCTCAATATGCGCGAAAACTTGAGGCAGGAAAGAAAGAGAACGACGAAAGAAATCACAGAGGTAAGAGACCAAAAAAGCGCTAGAATTGAACGATTTCAAGGTCGCTGAAATCCTCGAAGGAGTCGAGAAACAAGTGAACTTCCAACGAATCGACTTTGAAAAAGAAAAAGCGAAAGAAACCGCCCGAAGATCGATGGAAATGCAAAAAGTGCAGAACCAAATTCGCGATTCTGAGAAACGCGTAAGTCCTCCTTGATCTCAAAAAGTTCTCATCGAAATTCTAGATGAGATGCACAACAGATGCCATCGCAAATCTCGTGACAGAAATAAGAGATGAACAAGCTGATGATCGAATTTACATGCGAGCTGAGCTCAAACAGGTTTCCACCAAATTCAGGCCCTTTTCAACAAAAATTCTAGAGCCAAACAGAAGTTCGGCGCCAGGCAATGGCGTTCGAACGCATTCACGGTCGCCAGAATCGCTGTGAAAACGACATGACCGACATGAACTCGAAAATAAAAGACCTTTCAAGATCATTTGTAAATATGGCGACGGATTCTAGAGCAACGATTACCAATTCCTTCGTCAAGCCGTCTGAATCAAGGTGACTTTCTTCTCTCCTTTCTTCTCCCTGAATGAATTTTTCTAGGTCCGAATTATCAACAAGAGCTGAAAACAGTGGACTCCTCAACTACCGCTCCTCATTTACCGAATTTTCAACCGACCGGCTTTCTGAAAATTCTAGCAATGCGTGAACTGCTTCATTTTCTTCTACCGTGAAAATAAACTAACAACTAATCAATCATTTATTTGAACTTTTTCTTCTTGAAACACCGTGTTCGCTTCTTTGCTTTTGGTCAAAACGAGGTCCCGAATCACGCGGAGACGGAAAGAGTGGAAGAGTGAGAAGTTTACAACCTGCGCGGCGTAGCATATTGGCTGAATGTGACCAGCTTTGCCCGCGGCGCCTCGTTGCGCGATCACTTCTACGTTCGGGGCAATCTCGGCCCATTTCGAACAACACTTAGAGAAATACATATTGAAAGAAAAAATGATCGGAGACGAGCAAACTAAGAATTTCGATGAATTGATTGAACATGAGGATGTTTTGGGAGATGAAAATGAAGTAAAGAAAGAGTCTTTATTTATTCTCTATCATAATTCGAGATAACGTTCGTAACTTTAGTTTTTTCTTATTAAGGACCCCCCGTCAACAATTTTTTCTGAAAAAATCGAAAATTTCAAAATAGCCATATTTTGGTTTCTCAGTCTGCCTGGAAGTTTAATACATAATAGAAACTTGTTCGGAGCACTTTTTGACGAATAAAAATCTAAAATTTAAGAATTATTAGGTCATTTTCGTCATTTTTCGGTGAAAAGTCCGATTCTCAAACGCGATTTTGAGGGTGTTAGAGTCGAGATAGACCCCCAAAAAATGGAGCCTCAAAATCGTTTTTAAAAATCGTTTTAAAATCCATTTCCGGGGTCAAAATTTTGAAATTCCGAAAATTGATTTTTCGAAAAGTGTTGACGGGGAGGGGGGGGTCCTTAACGCCGGAACGCATGAAATAGATTTTTCCCGGAACGCATATCGACCCATTTTTGGGTGAGAGCCCGTAGACCCGTTTTCTTGTTTACATCAACCAATATTTTATCATAAATATGATCTTCAGACCCCGAACTACAATAAATTATTAGATACATGAAATATCTCTCATGTGTTGTTTTAACACTAGAAAATGACGATGTTTGAAGCCATATTTCAGCGCCTTACCCAGAAATGGGTCGATATGCGTTCCGGCGTTAATTTTATCAATATAATCCAATGAATATTATTCAAGAATTTCTTGTTTGAAGATGCGAACAGAAGTATTAATTATTCACACAATAAATATAAGCAAAAAAATAAATTTCTACGATTGAAATCTCAATTATGGTTTCGAAAATTTTCGATAATATATTGTCAATTTACTCTTTATATATAAACATGAATAAAATCTCCGGAAAAGGTCGAAGTAAAAGAAGAAACAAAGTCGCCAACTCCCGAAACAGCCAAAACTGACGTCCAGATTTACCAAGAAAAGCTGATCCGTCTGGAGCGTCACTTTTCCGAAAAGGTCAAAAAGCTGCAGTCGAAGATCAGCGAGTTCATTCCCGAAATACTGAAGACGCAGTTGGACGACTTGCTTCTCAAATTCCACAACGAGATCTCAGAAGAGTTTCAAAAGCTTAAAAATCCGATTTCAGGCGACATGGCGCCGCCGGCTACTCCGACTCCCACAACGCCATCTCCCAAATTGGGTAAGCCCAGTTAGTTTGTAAATAGAAACAGCTTCCAAAATTAAATCAGTGCGATGATTCTTTTTTATTTGCCGTTTGAGATAAATATACTTTCATTGTTGGAATTATCTTCTTCGTGTTCCTCGTGAACTGATTTCAGATGGCTACGGTACTATTTTTGCCTTATGAAAATAGAACAAAAAGAAAAAATGAATCCTAGTTAGGTTAAACTCTAGAAATTAGTTTGAGAGGGGAGAGCACTTGTTGGGGCATCTCTTAGCCAATCAAAAGCCTGTATTTTCTCAATTGACCAATAATTGACCAGCTCCCCTTTCAAAGAAAGATACTCTTGTCCCTCCTGTATAAAATGGCTCCGAAGATAGTGGCCCTCCTTAAAATCAGTAAAAATAAAATTTCAAAGGCATTCCTTTCGAATAAATCGGATAATAACCCGATCGCATTGCGCTTCCATTTCTTCAAAGTCCATTTCATAATCCCTCTTTATTCGCATGATTATTTGTCCTAAACAGATTCAATCAAAATATCCTCGTTCGTTTTCGAGCTCTCTTACTTGACATACACATCTTGTAAAGCTCCTGAAGATTGTAAATCGTAAACGAGCTGCTGAATAAAAAGAAAGAAAAAGCAAGAAAACACGCATCGTTTGAACTTCTTTCTTTTTTTTTCTGATTTTAATTAATTTGGACTTGAAATCTCGGCTAGTCGAATGATGCATTTTTTATTTTGTGGATGGATATGAATTTCGATTATCTCTCACACTTTTGCGTAAATTTTTAAATCTGTGAATAATGTTGGCACTCAGCCTCTCTTAAAAACTCACCGTAGCAACAAGTTCAGTTGAGACCGCAACCATCGCCGCTGAAGTACCGATCCTCACCGCTCCGACGCTCGTCTGTCCCACCATCCAAGCTGCTCCGATCATTCAGCAAATCCTTCCAACAGCATCGGCGATCAACGCTAGTCAGCAAAAAGTGGTGATTCCCCCGCCCCAAGTCGAAAAAATCATCGTCAACGGACAGGCCGGGCTCGGCAATCTCCGTAAAAAACCTGAGATACAGTCAAAAAGTCTTGTATGAAAAGCCGCATAGCGTCTTTCTTAAAAGAAAAGCCGCGAAGCGGCTTCGCCAAAAATCAGTTCAATTCAATTTTGGCAAAGCCGCTTCGCGGCTATATTTTTTGAAAAAGCCGCTACGCGGCTTTTTAGTCAAGACTTTTGGCCCCTGGCTAAAGTTGGTGAGCCCAGTTGATAGGAAACAAATGTTGTTGTCCAGCCAAATGCTGTTCTCGTCCCTAAAGACACAAAAGTCCTTAGCGTACCGAAAGATGCTAAGGTCGTGGAGCCCGTTATGGCAACTTTGATAAGAAAGCGCGATCCAAAAGGTGGAGGCAAGATTACGAAAATTTCGAATGCAAAGGTGGCGCAAGTAAAAGTTGTGCCGATAAGAAAAAGTGCTCGAATCCCGAAGCCAAGGGATGATACTGAACAAGAAAAGACAGGTAGAATATATTTTCGCCAAGAGAATGACCAGTAGATGTTTAAATTCTTTTTCTATTGTAGAGGATGAAATAGCCTACTAATCAAAAATAAGGAGAGATAAGCACCCCGGAAAGAAGTAACCCTGAGCCGCCAAAACTTGACCTGCCACCGGAAGAAAGTACCTTCGAAGTCGATTATGACTGTAAGTAAAAAGTCGCCGGAACAGAGAATCAAATTCTAGATTGGACTTACGAACGAGTAAACAAGGAATACGAACGCGTCTCAAAACTCGCCGATGATGACGATTTCGACTGTTTGATTTGCAGAAGAAGTTTTTCAACAAAAGCCTATCTCAAATCGCATCTTCGGGCTCACAGAGCCCCTCTCAAGTAGGCACTAGAAAATCATCTCTCCGTCAATCAATCAAACCATAGGTGCAAGATTTGCAAGGCAGAATTTCGATTGCAAACGAAACTCGAGAAGCACGAGTTGACCCACCGATCGGATGACAAGCAAATGTGCGAAGTCGCCGGGTGTGGCGAGATTTTTGATACAAAGAAGCAGCTAAATGAGCACAAGAAGAAACACAAGCCAAAGTGGGCCTGTAACATTTGCGGAAAACTTCTTGCTACTGAAAAGGTACCTTTCATTTCCGATTCGATACCTCCTTAATGATTCAAGTCACGTGACGAGCACAAAGTCACCTTCCACCTCGGCGGCTCCTCCCACAAATGCGATACTTGCGGCAAAGCATTCTCCAACCGGTCAACCCTCAACCGCCATAAACTCCTTCATTCGGTAGAATTTCGAAAGCCCTACCCATGCAATATCTGCAAGCGCGCTTTTATCGACCTCAAAACGCTCAAAAATCATGAAAAAACCTGTGCTAAGCATTTTTTCTCTGTCATCAAAGTCGACAAATAGTCACTCAATAAAATCCCCTATAAAAAAATTTTGGTGATGATGGTCCTTTGCCGCGTCAAAAATCAGCTCTAGAAAATCTTTAATGTCAAACAATCAACTCAATTATGTCCCGCGATATTCATGAAATTTCGCAGCTTGATCTAATCCCGATATAATCCGACCTTATCCGAAAGCCTGTGGTAACAGTGGCCCCCTTAGGCACCGCTAAGATAACAAGATTACTATCTGAGGAGAAGGGATGACTTTTGAAACTGTCCATTTTGAAAATTCCATTTTCAAATTTCAAAAAATGGAGAGAAAAATTGTCGTTTTCGCCGCTTTTATTTTGCCGATTTATATTTTTGTCGCTTATCGCTCAATTGACAAAATTGGCGATTTGGCGGAAAATCTTGAAATCAACGAAGAGAACCAGAAGAACGAATTATACGACTGTTCTAGAGATGTGAAAGTCGGAGAAGAGGGCCAGTTCAATTTTATATTGATTTTGTCAGTGAAGGGATCGGGTAATACTTGGACGAAACAGCTGTTTCAGTCGCTCACGGGTTTTTATGCTGGAGGAATGTATCATGAAATACCAGAGTCGTTGGACACGGATGAACTGTATGAAAACTCAAGCTTTCCTGGTGAACACTTTCTTCCTGAATCTGGACGCGTTCTGGGTAAGTTTGATTAGGGGCCAATATCTGTCTTGGCTCAGCAACCTGTGGAGAAAGCCTGACTCAGGGTTTTGCTTGAATAAAGCGGCTATTCATCGATACTTTCTTCGGACCATGAGTCAGGATTTTCACATAGGTAGCTCCGGCTAGATTTTTGTTAACCATTCAAATCGTAGGTATAAAATCACACAACACACATCATGTTTCCCGATGCCACGCAGCTGTCCTCGTGATTCGAAACCCTTACGACACGCTCAAAGCCGAATTCAACCGCCGCATCTCTCAAATGAAAACTGGCAATGGTCAAGCTGCCCATACAGACACCATTGACCCGGAATATTTTCGCTCTGATAAATGGCGAAGATACGTTCGAGGAACGTCGAAGACTTGGAGTAATTTTTATAAAGGAGCGATTACTGGATTGAAAAATCAAGGAAAGGGCTTTCATCTCCTCTTCCACGACTTGTTGAAAACGCAGAAAGTAGAAGAAATGCGAAAATTGTACGATTTTCTCGAAGAAGAAGCATCAGAGGATTTCAAAGTCGACAATGTTGAAGAACGATTGAATTGCATCGAGAATCAAAAATTAGACAAATACAAAAGAAAGAATCAAGAGTTCGACTTTGATCTGTTTCTTCCAGGTTTGGCAGGATTAAAAATTCAAAAATGAGTGAACTCTAGATGAGATTAAAGCGATCAACGAGTTGGTTGAAGGATACAAAGAGTTTTTCAAAAACAACAGCATCGAATTTCCGGAAGAAACTGTACATAATTGGCTAAAATGAAGTAAAACATGGCCCTTATAGTCTAGAAGTTATAGATAAGAGAATCTGCGTGCTAAATTTCCATTTTTTCTCATACAAATTAACAAAATGTAGGAGTTTATTGCAGTTTGCTGAACGTTTTCGGTCGGTGACCCATCATCAGAGCTTCTTTGTAAGACTGCAGAATTCAGCACAAAGTTTTGAGTCTTACCAAACAGTTCTGCAGTCTTACAAAAAGCTCTGATGATGGTCTACCGACCGAAAACGTTCAGCAAACTGCAGTAAACTCCTACATTTATTTATACCGTATAAATCGTCGATGTCAATTATCAATCACGAAATTAACAAAGGTTTAATACTCTTTTCACAATTTTTCTAAACAAAAAGATGAAAAACAGAAGAGACCCGACATCATTATGGTTTCTTTGAAAATATTCCTCAAGAGAAAGAGAAAAGTGTTACACGCTACAGTAGCGATCAAGTTCACATTGTAATTTGCAATCAACGAGGAAAAATGTTTTATTCGACTGCAAGGCCCGCCTCTTGTATTTTTGATGAAATGATATTGATTTGAATCAACTCAAATAACTGAGCAAAACTACTGAGCAAGTTCGAACTCCCCTGAGGCGAGTGCGCGCATGAATCTCCGATATCTTTGTCCTCCTTCATTCTGACAGGATGATTGGCGTTACAATTAAAAAACCTCCTAAATCATTCATCGCTTTCTGCCTCCGATCATCTGACGAGGGATCATCCCTTTCTCGGAACAGAGAAAGAGCCTTTTTCAAATTGCCGGAAAATAATTAGCCCCGCTGTCCCATTCTCTTTTTTTCATCCATTATTATTCAATAGTAGCGAAAAATGACAAACGACGAATAAATCGGGAAATATGGTAAGAACAGGAGCAAGAGGATTGAAAAAATGAGATTTTTTCGTTCAGAGATGTCCTCATTTGTGAATATTTCAAATGCCTTGAGAAGAGATACGGAGAAGAATGTCCCTGAAAGCATTGTTTATGTCCTATCATCAGGTACTCCCACCTTTACTTTGAATTCTGCGGTCCTTAATTGATTTTTAAGGGGTTCCCCAACGAATTTTCCGAAATGGGCGATTTTTGCAAAATCGTTGGGGATCCCCTTAAGTTTCAAAGTAAGGGCGCCTTAATTTCAAATTATATACCCTTAAATCTCTTATAAGGTTAAGGGTCAATCGAGCAGGATAACTGATGCTAATGTGGCATGAGCATGTCATCTGATGACATTATATCATCCTACTTATACCTTACACTGTTCTATTCTCTTCCCCCTGGTGAAGAGTAATGCCCAGACATGCATTAGCAAATGCATATGACAGTGAGCAAGTAATATCATTTCACGCCCTATCTATAGCTCATTGTACCAATATCGAGTAGAAAAAGGTGGAACAAGGGTTTAAATCGACCTTTTTTGCGAAAACCTAGTACAGTCAGAAACACTGAAAGTGATCAAAATTGATTTTAAAGATTCACTTTTTTGACAAAAACGATTAGTAAATAAGAAATGAGACTTGTTAGAGAAATTGACACTCATATGGCCAAAGGAACAAGTTTGAAAGAGAAGCTAAATCGCTAAGTAAATTTTGCTAACCAAAATTTTTTGATGGGTTTTAAGGGACCCGGTTAGGTAGCGCCGCGCCGAACTTCAAGCGCTCGCCGTTATTCTTGTGAATGAGATTTTTTTAATTTTCTTTTTGCAAATGATATTTACAGCTCTTCAGCTTTCTCATTCAGTTTTCGGTTTTTCTTTATCACCACTCATACATGAGCTAGATCAAAAAAGGGGAGCGCAACTTCAAAAGGCATCAAGTCCTGCAAATTTTATTTTATCTTTCAGAAACCTACCCCATAAAAAAGCCCATTAAATTCTCTACAGGTTCCACCTAATGCGCAAAACTGAAACTGTAGTAATAAGTGATACAGGTCATGCAAACAAAAATTCCTAGCGCGCGCCCTTCTGGAATCATGTCTCGGGAGCCTAAAATAGCGTCCTGCCGCGCCGCGCCGTGCTGAGCGCGCTAAGATCTCTGGTTTATCAGCCTTTAATCCGAAATAAGTAATGTTTCAGTTTTGCGCATTAGGTGGAATCTGTAGAGAATTTAATGGGCTTTTTAATGGTGCAGGTTTCTGGAAGATAAAATAAAATTTGCAGGACTTGATGCCTTTTAAAGTTGCGCTCCTCTTTAATGATCTAGCTCATCAATGAGTGGTGATAAAGAAAAACCGAAAACTGAATGAGAAAGCTGAAGAGCTGTAGATATCATTTGCAAAAAGAAAATAAAAATCTCATTCACAAGAATAACGGCGAGCGCTTGAAGTTCGGCGCGGCGCTACCTAACCGGGTCCCTTAAGGTTCTCCCACCCTTATTTGAACTGAAGCTAGGGTTAGGGTTAGGTTTATACTTAGCGGCTTAAATTGACAAAAAACTGCGTCAATTTTGACCGGAATTTTGTGTTAAATTAACATCGAATCAAATTTGCGCATTTAGTCGGTAGAGAAATCAGATTTTCCAAAAACGGTCGCCAAAATCGATTTTTTTGTCGCAGTCCTTAAAAACCTTTTTATAAATCTTTTTCTTCAAATTTCTTACAAAGCCAGTCCCACTAACATGAAAAACATTGAAGAAGTCGTCCTTGGATATGCCTTCCTGATCATCTTTTTCGGCTTTCTTTGGTTCATCAATCGATGCGTCATTCAAAGAATATAAAAAAAAATCCACTGTACAGTTCTTTTTCTTGTGAATACAGAGAAGAAAATCTTTTAGCAATTCATTTGATCGGCGTTAGTTTTAAAAAGAAACTTGCGCCCGATGTAGATTAATTAAAACACGATTTATTTGGGAATCAAAATTCGCCTCCCCTAAATCGTCCTCACTCACAACACTGAAAACAAACATGGCTGGATCCGTTGGGCCAGCTTCTCTGAATCTAGCGCGGCGCAAAATAAACATATTCAACTCAAACTCACTTTTTTTTAATTATGTCAGCTTGATTTTTTAAAAGAAAAAGAAATCCCTTTTTGAGACCAGAAAGATTGTTGTTTTTGGTATTTCAAGATAATGAGTATAGTGTTTTCTTCGTTAAATTTGTCAATTTTTCTATATAAAATTTTCAAATTTTAGAAAATAATGGTTTCTACTTCTGAAAAGCTCTAGAAACAAGCTTGTTGTTTGATAGCTGAGTGTCGAGGACAACAGGGAATCAATTCCCGAAAATTAAGGGGATTGTGTCTAGAACCAACAAAAAAATTTCGACAAATTTTGCGTGGGCGGCTACTCGGCTGCTGATTGGCTGGTTTGCCGAATCCAGGCTTCTGATTGGTTGAAAATTTCCACGCAAAATTTGTCAAAATTTTTTGTCGGTTCCAGACACCTCCCAAAATTAAGGGGGGGGGGTCCTTAAACTAAAAATTTTTTTTGTCCTTTTAACTGAAAAAATTCCTGGTCATTTATTTCCGGAAATGGCGAAAGCGTTGAATCATATCAAGCGGCTCAATTCTCGATTGAGCGGCGCTTGAATTTTGCAGTGACATCAGGGTCGGCGAAGAGAGCGAACCTGTCAGAAGCTGCGAATAAAACCTGAATTTTTGCATTTTTCGCACTTTGAGACTTCTTTTTCACGCTTTTTTTTTTCTCAACAAACACTCAACAGGAACAATTAAGCCAAATTGAGTTCATGTCGAAAGTGGTAAACAATGAATACTTTGAAGAAAAAGATCGTTTCTTGCTCATTAATTATTGCAGAACAAAGGGTCGCCGTGACGAAAAAACTCATCGAAGGACAATTTTTCTTGGCATTTTCCTTGAGGACATTTGAGCCAAATCTCATCGGGACTTCTCATTCTTTTTCTTCCTCGCAGTCCACATAGAACGCAGGGTGAATGAATCACCAAATATCTAAAATAAACGGTAAAAATATTCTTTGAGAAAAGAAAACTTATGCTATCCGTCGACAGTTAGGGTTAGGGTTAGGCCCTAACCTAAGGGAAAAAAGTTAATCGTACCCGCAGGAACAAACTGTCCAGAAAATTTTATTTTCAGGGTGTAAAAATCTCGCTGGAACAAGTTTTTTCTCTTCATCGATTTTCAGCATCCCAAGTCGAATTTTACTCATACATCAAACAAAAGCAACATTGACTAATGGTCCAATGGAAGGCAAAATTATTTTTGTACCTTTTGAGCTAGCGGTTTTTCGCTCAAAAAGACGCTTAAATTTGCCAAAATTTGCGACTTATCTTGCATTAGCCACCTCCTGAACAGCTCAAGCCCTCACAACGAGGCTATTATTTCGCATTTTGAATTGAGCCGTGTCTTTACTAACGCATAATTTCAACTGCAAACGCTTCCTGAAAACACGCGGCTCCTCTTCTCACGTTGGTACTTCTTGTTTTTCGAAAATCAACAACTGTCCAAAAAATTGACCAAATTCCGCCCTCCTTTCACACGAACACACATTTCTAACTGATTCAATTAAAATATTTACTTGCACATTCTTCTTTTTTCACGTAGCCCGCGAATTTGCCAAGCAGTCAGAAAAAATGCCCAGAAATGCGTTCTACTGATGGGGTGTTTGATAGCGAAATTTCCATCAGAGCGCTGTGGCGAATCAGAGTGCCTATCTCAAGCGGGCCTGAGTTAGGCTTGTGAGGCCAGTTACCACACATTTTCTTGGTCGGCGCTCTGATTCGTCAGATGTTGGAAAAACGGGTTACGTGAATCTTATGGAAAATTCGAGAAAAATTAAACGGACGAATCAGAGCGCCCATCAGTGGGATGTCTGGTTACTAGCCTTACAAGCCCAACCCAGGCTCCGATGAGATTTTTCCGCTATCCAACACCCCATCGGTAGAAATCCGACTCGAAAACTCAATTTCAATATCGCGCTTATCGAAATCCCGTCTCCCGCTGAGTAGGCGTTATGAGCGACGTCGGAGCTTTCTTACTCGACCTAGCTATGCTGAGCTAGCTGAGCTGAGCTGGCTTTCTTCAGAAAAAATGAAAGTGTTATTCGAAAAGAGCCAGCACAACTTAGCCAGAGTTCGAAACCTGGTAGAAAATCCGTGCTCCCGCTCCCTCCCTGCTCCCTCACCCTGAAAAAAGGGAGCTCCCTCGTCAAACTTAAAAACTTAAAGTCAAACTAGATGTTATTTTGGCTAAATATTATTATGAAATTTTAAAAGAGACGTTTATAAATATATATAGTCAAAAAAACGTCTCTTCTAAGAAAAATACTAAAAAGTTAGCGTTTCTCATTTTTCGGTGCGCAGATTAGATTCTAGACTAAAAATTGTTGATTTTCAAAAAATTTTTGAAATTGGGAGCAAATTGGGAGCTCCCAATTTACTCCCAGTACTGTAAACCTGTGCTCCTGCTCCCTCCGTACTCCCAAAAAAGGGAGTACAATTTTACTCCCATAGATTTCGAACTCTGAACTTAGCTAGCTCAATTTTGACCTCAGCTCAGCTAGTTTGAGACATCGTCAGCTCAGCTCAGCTCAACAATTTTCAAAAAAGCCGTAGCTTAGCTCAGTTCAGCTCATTTTCTTTGAAGAAAAAACCAGCTCAGCTCAGCTCAGATAAGGTCAGTGGTTTTTAAAATGAGGCCAGCTCAACTCAATTTCACCTCAGCTTAGCTAGCTCAGCTCAGAAAAAAAAAATTCAAAAATTTGCAGCTTCTCCTTCATCCCTAAAATCAGCCTATAAGAATTGAAGCTTTGTTTTTCTAACGTCCTCACTTCTTGTTGATAAATATATTGATGCCCTTGTTGGACAAGGTCAAAAAAGCAAACCCTTGAAAATACACACTTAGTCGCCCAAAAACATACAAAAGTTCTTTTTTGGCGGAGCTTTATTTTTGTTTGATATGCGAGAAAATATTGTTGTTGTTCCAGTTTCACTTTTTTCAGATGATAAGAATCAGAAAAATTCATAATCGGGGAGCAGGACAGGAAGTTAGATAATCTCCGACGTAACTTTATATGGAGCGAAATTGGAGCTCTTGGGCAGAGATATCATCTGAATTCGCGCTTTATGTTGACGGAGAAATGTTTGAGCTTACCCTTAGTTGAGAATAATTATATGAGTCCGAGTGAAGAATGGCGCTCTAACTGAAAAAGCTTGAGTGTTTAATCCATCGAGATTCGTTTCTTTCCATTCAGTTGTAAGTTGTTTTTCCTTCCCGTCATAATTAAAGACTTCTGTTCTTGCCAAGAACATAATCATTTTGCCTGAGTCAAAGAATTAGCAAAGAACAGAAAATAGAATTTCTAACCATCTATGCAGATGGTAAAATCTCCTCTGACATAAGTATAGCCATTTTCATCGTACCGACTCTCCGTCCCTCCAATTTTTAGATATGAATCCTCAGTATAAATTTCAATATTCGAAGCAAACTAAAATTTTTCAAATAAAATCATAATCTTCGTACTTACTTTTATTGTAAAATTTCGCATCCCATTTCGATAAGCCGTTATAAGGGAGGAAAATGCGAATTCGTCAATAAATTTTTTGCCTCCTTTATATCCAGATTTATCCTTTTCCTTGTTATGGCCAAGAATTCTTTAACTTTTAAGAATATTTTCATTTTTAACTATATCCTTAAAATCTAACTATATCCTCAAAAAATAACAACTTTCCCATATTCTTCCAAAGACTTCATTTCGGCATCAGTCAGGCCAAAATTTCTTCTTTTCTGTTCATTTTGACTAATTCGCTCTTCTATCATTCTCTGAATATGTTCAATATTCAAATCTTGTTTTTTTTTCTTCGAGTATTCTCTTCCTTTTTCGTTTTGAATAATTTTTTCTTCAATCATATTTTCAAGCTGTTCAGCTTTGAACTCTTGATTTTCAACCCGATTTTCAAGGTCTTCAACTCGTTTTTTTAGCTTGTTTTTTTCCTCTTCGGCGTCAATGATTTTCATTTCAGCATCAGAAAGTTTCAATTGCAGATTGCGAACTTTATTTTCCAGCATATAATCATTTTTCCTCATTACATCTCTTTTTTCTGAACAAATAAATAAAAAAACGTAAAAAAGATTATTCAGCTCTATTCTATTCTCATACCTATGGGATTTAACTCTGACTCGATAACGGCCGTGTCCGCAGATATTAAACTCTCACTGTAGTCGGACATTTTTGCTGTCCGAATTGAGTGCTTATTCTTCTTTTCAAAACTACTAAGAGTGCGGTCAATAAAACGGATTTTTACAACCTTGCTTCGTAATTTCCATTTAATCACCAATTAATCACCAATTTACCGTTCCATAAAAAGTGAGCAGATAATAATTATACTCACGCTGAATAAATTTATTCAATAATGAGACGATGGCTATAGGAAAAAGTTTCCTGTAAATATTACGCGTTTCATATTTCTAAAAGCATTTCATTCTCAGATTCTGATGATCTCTTCCCGAGTTTTAAACAGTCCCTCTTATTCCCTTTCCTCGCTCCAGCTTTTCGTAATCGTGCCGAAAAAACCCTTAGCTTTGTGGCAAATGAAATAACAGAACACGTGAAAGATTTTTGCTCGGGTAATCTAATGCTTCATCTTAGTAGAAACAGGTTCCAAACGCAGCTGCTCTTCCAAAATTTCCCCCAAAACAGCTCAAAAAGTTGAGCGCGTATTTCCAACGCCCCAAATATTAAATGTCGAAACTTAGCGGATTTTTGCGGTAACTGAAAAATCGACGAAATGAGAGGAATTTCCGCCACGGTTTCTTCTGGAATGCAGGTTTTCGTAAAAATTAAATGATAAGGAGAAGGTAAGATGTTCAATGGAATTTTTTATTTTTTGATTTTTTGAGAAAAATGCCTTTTTTATGAATTTTATGGCTTAAAATAAAAATAAAATAATAAAATTTTTGAAAAAAAAAGAAAAAAAGGTTCAAAAAATGCGAATAAATGTGGAAAATTTTTTTTCAGAATTTTTAACGAAAAAAATTTATTTTGAAATTTCTTCTGGCCTGTTATTTAATTATTGACTCGTCCGCAAAAAACCCCTTTCCCTTGAAAACCTTTCTTGAGGCCCGAATTCTTCCCATACTTGCGTGAATATGCGCCCAAATTAAGCAATTTCCCTTCAGCTGGCTCAATTCTAGCGCGGCGCGGAAAAAAATGGTGGCGCTGTCGGAAAACAACTATGAGCGCTCATGATTATGGCGCGTATAAAACGTGAAGGGATCCAGGAAAAGAATCATCCTTCGTGACTTTCTGAGATTAAGAGAGAAGCAGCTCAACAGGTAATTTTTAAATCAAGGGGTTAGGGTTGTCAAATTTTTGCAAAAGAAATTTTTCAGTTAGGGTTAGGGTTATCTTTGGATTTTTTTTGCAAAAGTTTATTTGATATTTTAAGATTCTGAAAAATATGAAAACTGTTGGAATTTTCTCCGCACTTTTCGGCTTTGCTGCAGCTCAAGCTCCTCGGCCTACAATGCCTGGAACTGTCGATACAATGAGCGAATTCCGTGAAGAATTCGGCACCTTTGTTCCCGAGTCCATCAAGGTAAAAATCAACTACTCTATTCAAAATCTCACTTTTCTCTAGCTCTTCTCGCCCTTCCGAGACAACGTCATCACGATGGTCTCCCTTGGTCTCAAAGAAAACGGCTTCACCAGACGAGACATTAAAAATGCCTTGGAAGACATCTTCACCCACGGATGCCACTGCGGATGGAACAAGGGCCGACGTTAGTTTTCCTGACTTTTTCGTTCCAAAATTTTCATGACTCGTTTAGATGCTTTGGAAAAAACGAAAGTTGTCGTTGATGACCTTGACCAGGACTGCCTAAATTTTGACCACTGCGTCGATTGTCTTAAAATGGACCAGTGTAGTATTGAAACTCTAGAATTTTCTCCACTTGTCGAGAAAAATAAGCCAGTTTCTTGCGATAATTTGGCCGGCGACTCTTGTCAGGAATCGTGCTCTTATGATTCATCAAAAAATTTTACAAAAAAAAAATTAAAATATGTTAATAAAAATTTCGATATCTCAAGCTAAGAGCCTAAAAAGTACAATACCTGCCTTTGCTCAAAGAATCTTGCCGACAAGATTTTAGAGAAAATCGTCGGATCAGGAGAATACCCCTTCGTTGGCCTTTCCTTCACTGAATTTCACGATCAATGCATGAAGCGCGACCCGGTCGATGTCAACACTCAACTCAGAAAACCAAAAGTCAATGTAAGCCGAGATTTTTCCTTGCCTCCTTTCATCCCTTTTCCTAGTCGGATGCTGAGAGACAATGCTGCGGCGCCTACCCTAACCGAGCTCCTTTCACTTACAAACCAAACGGCCTAGCTTGTTGCGCTGGAACCACCCTTTACGAGCAAAAAGACGAAACTTGCTGCTCAAGCGGCCAGATTTTCCCGATCGGCGAAGTTTGCTAATTTCAAAATTTTGATTTGAAATTTCTATCTTCTGCCTAACTTCAGATTAACTAACTAGACAACTAACAATTGTTTTTAAAAATTTTGTGAAAAGCTGTACAACTAAACTTGTAAATAAATGTCTCAATCGATTGAAAAATATCTCATAACTGTACTGATGAAAAAATGAAAAAAACATTTTGACAGTTTAATATGGGATCCAGGCGGTTTCGTGAAGCCAGTCGTTGATGTCTTCTTGGGTGATGTCAGTGAAAACAACTAAAAAAAATAATACTTGATTCTAGTTATCCTAAAAAACCTGGAAGAGAAGCATCACAAGAAGGATCAGCGAAACTCATGATTCCGGTTATTTTCGCCTCGTCGTTCTCATCGATTGTGACTAAAGCTCCACCAGCGTCTTCATCACAGGCTCCAATTCGAACAGCATTCTTTCGGAACGGACAGGGGTCGAAGGGCTTGAGCCAGGAGTTCTCGTTGTTTCCAGGTCGGAACTCAGTGCTTCGACGAAGCTGGAACTTTGAGTTGTTGTTGACACTCGTGACTCCACCGCAATCGTTCGTCATCAAGCACGTGATCTAAGAATGCATCTTCTCAATTCAGAAAATTGTGAAACCAACCTGAGCTTCTTCGAGAGTATCTTTTTCAACCAATCCAGTACTCGGCGGATATCCTCCCAAATACATGCCCTCTCCGTAGATCCACTTGTCAAGTGGAGTACAGAGCTCGATATCTCCCGGTTCTCGGCAATATCGAGCTGGCTTCAAAAAGACATTGACGCCTTGGGAAGGAACTCGGAACTGGCCTTTTCGAAGAGTGTAGCTGCCATCTTTTTTAATGTTTTAAACACCATAAAGGATTTGGTAATTTGATTGGTAGATAGTTTTTTGGTGAATCTTAATTGACTTATTTCGAAGAGCTCCAGGTACCCCTAGACTGGTCATAAATTCTTGCTTTAAAAACTTAGGACTCTATTAAACTACTCAAAAAACATTTCCTTTGAAAGCGACGCCAGTACAGAACGGCTCCTGAATGCAAGCATCTTTTGCCAAATTCCCATTATCAAACTCCTCAGATCCTTCAACAACGCCAGCAAGTTCTTCATTCGAGACCATTTCCCACTCATTGAATTGGGCGCACCACTCTTGATCCGATGGAGTCGCGCAAAAGTGAGTAGAAGTCATGCCAGGAGCGAATGAACAGCCGGTCTTGTACTGTGTCAGTTGAAGATTTGTGACTTCCGACCAGCCGCCGAGTTGGGCTAAAGCATTGTCCTTGTAACTGCCGACTTTGGCAAGGCGAATCGGCTTGGCGAACTCGGACGGGGTGAATGGAGAAGAGACCTTGACAGCAGCGACATCGTATTCTTGGGTTTCAGCGTTGTACTTTCTGTCGGGTAATGAATCACATCACAAATAATAGCCTCATTTCTTTTATAAATCAAAATGGCCCGATCCTGGGGCATGTTGAATTTCTCTCTGATTCCGACTTGAATTCCTCGTTGCCAGCTGACATTTCCGTAGAGAGCCAAATAATTTGTACTTTTTTTGTTCAATTTTTTTGTACAGAACAGTTTAATAACTCTCTCAAAAATTCATCATTTCATTATATCAGAGATCACGAAGCTACAACTGTTTTTAATAAATAATCATTTAAAATTGCCAAAGTTAAAATATTTGTAATTTGAAAGGAAATAAAAATTATGGTCTTTCTCTGATTGATTTTTTGCTTACAAACTGTTTGTAAAGTATCTTTTCTTTAGAAAAAATTTGAATCAATCCTCAAGTTACAAGCAGCACTAGTGACAAACCATTCTAGATTGACCATATTTCCGGAGCAGAAAACCCTCTCATTCGCCATTAGAGCGAGTCTGTACGGCACCTCTCCATTTACCGCGTCATAACCTTCGGTCAAAAACTCCGAGGCAAGTCTCAAGCCAATTTCGGTCACTCTCATTTCGTCACTCAAAGTTCAGTAACTCAATGATTCTGAATTCGGAAGAACCAACACTGATCTTGAATCATGGCAGTTGGCCTTCTTCTCATGCTGCATCGCATTCTTTTCTGTTTCATGAGTTTATTTATTCAAGTTTTATTCAGATAAATAAGGGTTCTTGAATTTTTATTTGTCAAGTTTCATGCTAAAATTAAATGCCTAGGGAGATTTTTAATGAAAATTCGACTTGTTTTGATTTTATGACGATAATTGGTCATGAGAAAGTGACAACAACGAGGATTTGAAGAACTGATTAACAAGAATCCCTGGTCTTGATGAACGCTTTGAAAATAGTTGATAAATAAAAAACATATACTAAAAATATTTGCTTCCCGGCTTGAAGTTGCCGGTTTCATTTGGCAATCTTCGCATTTTTTCTTTCTTGACAGAGCCAGTCTCTATTTGTTGCAGATTATTTGTCAATGAAACGTCAGCCCTTTTGCTTTGTATATATTTGCATTGAAAATCATAGAAGCCGGTTGCTTTCCCTTTTTGAAGCCATTCACGATGATAATAAGATATCAGAGAGGTACTCAACGAAAAATCTCGAATTCTTTGAAAAAGTCTTTTTTTAAGTATTCATCTTCTTATCTGCATGCGACGCATGGCAACTGAGTTCGACAGAACCCATAGTCTACAATGTTGGTAACCCTCGAATCGAATGTAGAGAAGGCGATGATTTCACCGGAACTTGTGAAGATTTGCAAGTTTGTATTGACCAAGGACTCTGTGATCACGGACAAGATCCATGGGAGAGCGCGATTTGTGCAAGCTACAATGAAGAATTGAGGTGTTTTTATCAAACTGACTTAAGATGGACTTGGGGATGGGATCCAAATATTCATCAAATAATATGCGATAAAGGTTTATTTGAAAAAAAAAAAATCCCCTCAAACGCGGTTTTTCTGAAATTCGCATTTAAGGGTACTACCTTCGATTTCCCCAATTTTAGCCTTGAATAACCCTTAACATGGTATCGATAGCGGGTATCATATGGCCTCTAAAAGTTTAACTATCTTAGATCTTTAATCTGTCAGAGGCGTTTTCGAATAGCTCGATGAAAAGTCGGCGAATTTCTAGCTTAAAAATATCATTGTTGCAAAAATAGACTGAATAAACGGCGAAATAGCTCGAAAAGTAGCTTGATAACTCAGCCTTATTTTATTTTTTATGTGTTAATTGAACCCTCATCTTAAAAATGACAGAAGGTTTTTTTGATTGAAAAAGGGAAAATACCAAAAATTTTTTTTTGAAAATTGTGTCTCTATGATTTTGCTAAAATTCAGCATTTTTCAAAATTTGCGGACGCATTTTTGTCTCTAGAAGCTAAAATATCTAAGTTCAAGAATTAATGAAGTCACCATAATCCGCATCTTGTTCTGAGCTTCAAAACGAGCCCTTATTTGGAAGAATCGGACACCAAAAATTTTTTCGGAAAAAATACTTTCTAGTACAGAAATCAATTAAAACTCTAATTATTATGAAAACGCTTGACGTTATGAATGAAACGTTCGGTCCTTTTTTGGTCAAAATTTTATGAGGAATTCATTTCCGATGAAAAATTTAACATAACCGGTCATTGGGGTAATTGACGGTAGTACTCTTAAGGACCCCCAGTAGTTTAGACGACGAGGAAGAACTTTTATTCAGAAAATTTTTTTGCTCTTATAGAAAATTTTGTCAGAAATTGGCTCCGAAATTTGAAAATTTGCGTTTTAATTTTCATAAGAATCTTGAGTTCGCTATTTTTAGTGATAATTAAGGGTATACCCATCATAAAAACTATTTAATAATAAAAAAGAGTACAAAAAATAATTCGGGGCAAGTTAGGGAATAAAAACTGCAAATTGAAATCTGGAAATTTGCCTAAAACTCGACTGAATTTTAAAGAGGCTTTCCTCCTTAAGTTTGTTGGCCAAAAACTCTCAAAACGGGAACGGTCGTAGCTTAGGGCCTTAACTTTATCCTGAAAAAAATTAAGGGTATACCCCAATTAAAAACACGAAAAAAACCTTCACTAAGCAACCTTACCTTTAACAGCCTGTATATCCTTACGTTTGATATCGAGATATCACCATAAGGGGAACGGTTGCAGGCGAGGGTTTGATCTAAAGCTTGCAATTGAAATTAAGGGTTTACCTAAGATAGTTTTCGAGACAATCGTTCACTAAAGAGACCTATTTTCATTCTAGTGTTTTCCTCTTTCTTGCTCTTGTTTTTCTTCCATGCGCGCTTTTTTGGGTCCAACCAATCAGAGCGCTCTTTCAAACGCGCAGTTTCTCTCGGGAAAGAGGAGTCGAGAGATTGAGCACCCAGCGCAGCGCTTTTTTCACTATCCACGCGCCGAGGAAGCCTCACGGAAATGGCTCTTAAATCGGTTTTTGTCGGAATTAGAGAAAACCGAACCCACAATTTTGTAGATAAGGGTCTAGATTACTTTTCTATCAAAAAAACTCGACCGATTTAATGTAAAAATTTCGAGAAATCGCGATCGTCAGATTTCAAAACTCTTTACAGAGAAAAATTGAAATGAAAATTTTTAGATAGGATTGCTTTTAAAATAAAATGATCCGACGTCGCATTTGGGCGCTATGAAAGTTCAATTTCATAGGCTAAATCCTTAAAAAGAAAATTTTAGGATGTTCTACTTATCATAAAAAGCTTAAGCTGCGCTTGAATTGCAATATAGCAATAACCTTACAATTTCGATTCAAATCATAAAAATCAATATAAGAGACGAAAGTTATTTCAACGTGAAGTTGGCGATTCCGGGGAAGGATCCCTTTTGTTATTTTCTCACGGAAAATTCCGATAAAAGACAGCGTATTTTAGGGCTTAAAACGAGTTGGCAAATCGACGATAACAATTTCTTTACTAAAATTATATGTGAAGGCATCGATGAGTGCTCACCAAATCCGTGCGGTGAAAATTCATATTGTTATGATTTTTATGTCGGATATGAATGCGAATGTGATTATGGATTCAAATATGATGAAATCGAAGAAAAATGTGTTGATATTAACGAGTGTGAAATTGGGGATTTTGATTGTGGCTTATTTCAAAATTGCATAAATACAGATGGATTTTACGAGTGTGAATGCATGGAAGAATATATATGCTTTTGTGATTCGGTATTTTCTTTAATTTTTCTGATTCGAGAAAAAATTCAGAAACAGGAAATTGATGATGAACATAGCGATTGCGAGGGAAAACCATTTCCAGAAGTAGTTTGTTATGATAACCACCCGAAAAATACCAATAATGTTACATGCTTGGATATAAATTATTGCTTTGATCATGGTTCTTGTCATGAAATGAATAGAACTGTGGCTGAAACTTCTGCAATTTGTGCTCATACTAATGACAACTTCCTCTGTATCGGGCCTTTAGAATGTGAAAAAGGTAATTGAGGCTATTCTTATTAATTGGAAAAATATGTAATTTTTCAACAAAGTTGATTATGAAACTATCCTTTATTCAGGCTTTCTTCCAGCGGTTCATTTTGAAGGCTCGAATGCCATCAGCAGTTGCCTCAACATTGATGAATGTGCTTATAACTTAGACGATTGTGGAGGAGGCTCAAAATGCGTTGACACTGATGGAAGCTTTGAGTGTGAATGTAGCGGGAAACCATCACTTCCGTCTGATTATTCTGACCAAGATGCCTGGGATATATTCGAGCAAGAATTCCTCTACGATTCTTTATATCCGCAAAGATACAATCAAACAACGAAGACTTGTCAGGAATACGATCACTGTGCATCGTCGCCATGCACGAACGGTATTTGTTCAAACACGGGTTCAAAGACGGAGCCATATTTTGAGTGTTCATGATGAAATTCAATAAATTAGATTTGTAACTCCCTTTTGCTCTTGTCTTTCATTTTAATTTTATTAAGGGTATAGTAATCGCACTTGGTCATTTGACGCTTGAATTCCTCAGTGACTAATAAAGCTAGAGTTTCCTGTGATGACTCGGAATTACTTTCAGGGAACATTAAGAAAAATAACAAGAGCTTTTATCGAATTACCCACAAGAACTGATAGTCATAGTGCAAATGAGGATCCTTGAAAGTCACGAAATTTCGCGTTTTCGGCCGAGTTGCCAAATTTGACGGGCTAGAAAAAATATTTCTACTTTGAATTTCGAAAAAAGCTCTTGTAAATAGTAAGAACTAGGACGGATCTTAAACATAAGCATAATGCCATATTACATACATAGCGATTTTAGTATCTGCATAAAATGAAATCCTCCCACACATACGAATAGAACATGATCCGGAATTGGATAGGTTAAAAGCCGGTCACTTGGATCAAATTATATTTGAAAAAAAGATAGTGCACCGATCGGACGTCATTGGAGCAATGGTGCTCTCGACGCCTTCTGACACTTGAAAAATTATATTTGCTCATACATACTATTAAATATAATATTTCACGAAGTGAACTTATTTTTATTCAAGATTTATGAGATTAATGGGAATTTATAAATTAGGGTGATGAATTTAATTTTGTCTAGTTTTTGGTAAAAATAAAAAAGTCTAGGGAGAGTTTCAATCAAACTTCGGCAGTTGCGATTGGTTTCTTCGTTCACGATTCGTTCTGGATTTGTTGGCGATATTTCGTCACTAGAACTCGTCAAGGTGTTCGATGAGTAACACGGAAACGTACCTGAATCGGGGGTTCGACAGAGCGCAAATTTGATTTCCGTCAATAATCTTGCACAAGTAAGTTTCAAGTCGGCCACTGCGCCTGGTTCTCCTACCCCAAATTTTTCTCCCTGAAATTGATCATGAAAAATCATCAATATTTTCCTTGACGGACCTGTTCAACTGTGTCTGGAAGAACCTTATCGAGAGTTTCCTCCAATAAAAGCGTCAAGAAAGCACCGGTCAATCCCAAAACACCAAAAATGATGTAGGGCAAGGAAGGGTTGACAACAGCGAGGAGGGCGACTATCGGCGCGCAGATTCCACCAATTCGAGCGACTGATGAGCAGAGGCCAATTCCAGTGTTTCTAATTAAAAAGGGTTAAAATCCAAAAAAAGTAAAAAACGAGTGATTACCTGAGAGCAGTAGGGAAAAGCTCAGCTGAGTAAACGTAGATCCCACCATAAGCGCCTTTAATTATTTGATTCATTATCAGACATGCAGAAAGAGATTAACAAAACTAGAAATTCTTCAATTAATGCAACCTTGAAAGATGATGAAAATTACATTTCCAAATTCTTTCATATAAAAAATTCTTGTGCTGCGAATTTTTAAACTTAGTTATGGTTTCTTGAAAATAAACTTTTTACCTGTGAGAGCAAATTTTCCCGCTAGTGGGAGAACAATCGACATTTGTCTGTGAAAATCATCTTGTTCTGGGTGAATAAACATCATTGCAAGGCAAGAGACTCCACCGAGAATGTCAAAGAAGAACATCGACCTTAGTTTTGTCAACTTGTACTCAATATGTTTTTCCTCCTTACCATCTTCTGCCAACGGTGACAAACAAAAAGCCAGCAAGAAGTTCCGCCGGGACTTCAAGCATTCCCGAAATTGCCAAGTTTACAAATGGATTGCCCCCAAGAGTAGTTGCCCCCATCGAAAGACCGTAGTAAACTCCAGAAAGCATAAACCACTGGTAGAAGAGATTGAGGGTCCTCATTCGGATTCGAGGCGTCGCGAAAAAGTCAGAAAGCGACGATTCAACAACAGCTTCTTTTTCGGCGGATTGAGTCAGGCCGTATTTTTCAAGACCGCCAAATGTCTGAAAGAAAATAAATTTTACGATTCATTGGTGGTAAATTTACTCTTCCGTTGATCTTCGCTATAATTTCTAGCGCCGCATTTGCCTCGGCAATTCTTCCTTGTGAGATGAGCCATCGTGCCGATTCTTGAAAAATCTTCGGGATGAAAAAGCCGATCGCAGCCGGAAGCGACATAATCACAGCCAACACTCGCCAGGTCGGAAACCAGTAGGCCAAAAGCGCCATGATTGCCTGCCCAACGCCGAAGAGCGCTTGGGCCACCTGCAATGCCATAACACGGGTCTAAGGAGAAGTGTTAAGAATCGACAGTGTCAGCAGGATCTGCAAAGTGATTAGCAATTTAAGCGCTTAGCGATTTCAAATTCCTTAACAGCGCGCTAGAAAACGAGTTTCTTTGATGGAGAAAATTTGTACCTTTGGTTCAAAAATTTCTGAAGTCATGACAAAAGCTGACGAAATCGCACCGATCGATCCAGCACCACTGAACATTCGCCCTTTGACAAATTTTGAGTCATCTTGTCTTATTTTATTCTTACCAAGAAGAAGAAGATAGAAGCCAGTTTCGGATTTTGGGACAAATGCGCAGCTGACGAGGCCGAAAAAGGCAGTGATAAGGGAGACCGTGACAGTTCGCATTCGGCCCGAATTGTCGGACATTTTGCCAAAGACGACGGCGCCGAAGAAGACTCCGATCATGACGAAGATTTGGATGATTTGGATCTACAAATCATATTGAATGAGAGAAATGAGCCTAAGGCCGATAACTATGGAATCTTTTCTACTAGGTGAAAGTTAATCTTCAGACTATGAAGACTCTGAAGTTCAGAGTAGGAATCCCGAGCAAAAACGGGTTTTCAAAAACTTGAAAATATTTTATGGTATTTCATTCGCATTCTTAATTTACCTTCCATGCGTCTTCACAAACAAGACCGAAGTCGGTAACAATCGTTTTTTGGTAATAAGTCTGGTTGAAAGTCCATTTCGAGCAGGCGGTGTAACGGTGATAGTCAGAAATATTCGTTCTCGTGAATTCTAGCGTCGCAATTTTTATTAAATGTTAATTCGATTTAATTACCGGAAGAAGAAAGAGGTGTTTGGTAGTCGAAAAAATCTGGAATAAATGATTCGATAATCTGCGGCGAGCTCCACATTTTACTCTCCGAAACATATTCAGACGAGTCGTTCGAATTTGCGATGGTTTGGAACATCTCGCAAACGGCTGATCTCAAGTTCAAATACAAAATCTAAATCGCCGCGCTTCATTCTTTTTGAACTCTTTCTTGGCTTCGTTTTCCATTTCTCCAATTGTCAGTGTACGAGTTGTAGTTCACCTGCCTGCATTCTTTCGCCGAAGTGGCGTTGTTGAAGACGAAGAGTCTTCGGAGAGCTTGAAAGCTGACGTCGTCGAGGTTTTTGTGCGCTTCGGCGGTCAAGGAATGATTGTTCAGGGCGCATTGCTATAATTGAAAAGAGAATTAATGTTGTTTTTTCAACGAATAATCGACAAAAAATAATCGCAATTATTAATGAATCATCATTTTTTGGGGAGATGTCCGGAACCAACAAAAAATTTCGACAAATTTTGCGTGGAAATTTTCAACCAATCAGAAGCCTAGATTCAGAAAACCGGCCAATCAGCAGCCGAGTAGCTGCCCACGCAAATTTTGTCGAAATGTTTTTGTCGGTTCCAGACACCATCCCCATTTTTAGGACTTACATAATCAGGAATGAACCCTTCCCAATCCTGATGGCTCTGCAAATCTTCGGAAAGCTGATTATACTCGCAAGTGTGCCCGGGAGCAGCCGCTAGAAGCGAGTTGCCGAGCAAATGCCAGCACATAGTCATGGGCAAACATGATAAAATTAAAAATCGCGTCTTTTGATAAGTCCCGATTCCGTCGATTTCTTCGAAAACATCGTCTTTTTTCTCGGATCAAAAAGATTTTCCTCCTTGATTTTTCGAACATTCTCTACTTGACAATTTATGATCCAACTTGGCAAAATTGAAGGTCATTTTTTGAGATGTGTCACATCTGGTGGGATTGGAAACAAAGTTGTGCCGTGCTACTGGATGCGAGGGGGATTGGCACCTTTCTTTTTTGATGCGTTTCATTTTTAGACAAAATTCTCGAAACTCTGATTGAATAAAACAATGATTGAGAAATTTATTGATCTGAAAGTAAAATTAGATTCATGCAATTATGATAATTATAAGAGATCAGCAATAATTGATTGGATTTCGTCTTCGACATTGATTTGCTTCGCCCGAAGTTTTTTCTGCGCTTTTGTGAAGATCTTGTTCCACTCACTTGATTTGCCAGCTTCGTATTTTTTCAACGCAGCTTAAAATTGATGAGAAGAGAATCAAGCATAGTTGGAAAAAACACCCGAAACTCGCGTGCGCGTGCGTGCGCGTGCGAATTTTTCTCGAAATCCACGTGCGCGTGCGTGCGCGTGCGCTTTAAAAAAGAGGAGTGCGCGTGCGTGCGTGCGCGCACGTGCGAACACGCGTGCGTATTTTTCAAGGTATAATTTCGAGTTTTTTTGGCGAAAATTGAGGTTTTTCCAAGTAATTTTCTTATGAATAATGTTTTATAAACACTTTATACCTACAATAGCTTATCAAGGGCTCTTCAAAAACACTAAAAACCCTTTCTCTTCGTTAAGATATTCGCAAAATTTTCGAGGAAGGAGAAAAAACCTCAAAATTCCGAAGAAAAACCCTTTTTTTCCTATTCGCACGCGTGCGCGCACGTGCGCTCTTTTTATCTCCGGGTGCGCGTGCGTGCGCGTGCGCAAGTATTTGAAAATCTCGCGTGCGAGTGCGTGCGCGTGCGAAAACACGCACGTGTTTTTTCCAACTATGGAATCAAGAATGGTACTTTACCAAGTGCAAGAATCGTAAGAGCGAATTCAACTGACTGAATCTTCTGTTCAAGGTGCTCGAAAGCCTTGGTAAAATTCTTGTGATAAGCTTCCAAGCATTTCAAAATCTCTGTTTTTTCTGAAAACATGTTGGAAAAACTTAGTTTGTCAATTGTTTACTTGTGGCTTTCCAGAGTCCATTTCCTCGGGAATAATTAATCAACTCATCGGACCGGGAATCAGCATCCGGCTTCTCAGTGATTTCTGCAGCTTTGGACGGCGTTGCTCTTCTCCCCTTTTTCCTGGCCCCACCGATTCCACCAGCAGCAGGAGGACCACCCATCATAAATGGTGGCGCTCTTCGCTCCCTTGCAGGCATCATTCCTCCAGCAGCGGGAGGAGGAGGGAAAGCAAACCCTCCGCCTGCTGCCATATACCCTGGCCCTACAAGAGATCTTAAGTCTTGAAAATACAGGCCTTCTTTGAAGCAATTGGTCTAGCTATCAAAGAGCCGCTTCGAGTAGCTAAGGGTTAGGGCAGTTCGTCAGAAAGGGTAATTTATGACCATATTACGCTTTTTCTAGTCAACATCTTCGCAAGAATTAATTAATAATAATAGCTACTTCACTAGCAAAAATAATCAGTGAATTCAGTTCAACTGAATCTTACTCTCGATTTTTCTTATTTTTTCTTTTTCTTCTCTAAGACAGGCTAGAGTTTAAAAGGATAAAAAAAAGAAACAAAATAAAGTCCTTTTCATACCGCGTGATACATTCATTCCACCATGATGGAGTCCTTGAATAGGAGTGACTGTGCTTCTAATAACTTTTCCTTCCTCGTTTTCAACAACGCCGACGAAAGCAGTGTAGTCGCACAAAGTTTTCCCCTACAGACAATTATAAAGATAAGAAGGAGTGAAAAAGAACAAACAAAAATTGAAAGTCTCGTTTGAACTTCCTGACGGTCGAATTCTTGTTGATATGAAGTTGAGTCTTCCAAAAAGTCGATCTCTTGCTTCGCCCAGAAGGATTTGAGCTTGATATGCGCGTTGCTCCAGCGAGATCTTTACTCGGGATTTAAAACGGAAGATAATTTTTCATCGAGATATATTTTTGAATCCGTTCATTTCGCAATTAAGTTTGCAAAGCTGTCCATTTATCACAAAGCGGATTTGATCAATGTTGTCAAAAAGAGCTGAGTTAGGACCGGTCGATTTTAAACATAAATAAAATCTTTTGAAGCCATAAATTGGCATGTTCAGTTCTTGAGGATTTTGAGAATAGCCAACGAGCTGAAGATTTGCTGGAAGTATAATTCGTTGAAGATGTATCGCTGGTCTTCGTTTCGGTACAAGAAAATATTCGCTAGGTCAACTATCAATGAAAAAATGCACCGTTCCTAGAAGCATTTTCCAAAATCTGCATTGTTTTCGCCTGAATTCGATCTTTTCCCAAAACATAAACTGCAGAACCAAGTCCATTCTTGGCGATTCCTTCGCACAAGCTTTTCGATGCTCCGGACCCAATTCCAAGTGAGAAGAATCGAAGCTTGTTCTCGAATTTTATTGTGCTGTCTTTGACAATTTTGATGACATCGTTGGTGTTTGTGATGGCACCATCTGTCATGACGATGATGTTTCTGTAGACATCTGGCGGTTGCTCAAGACTAAACAGATGGAAGGGATAAACGTATGGAAGACTTACGTAAGAATGTCCATAAGAGGGCCATGAATGTCTGTTCCTCCGAGATTCGCCCTCATTTCTCTGTCGATCCATTGTTGAAGACCCTCTAATTGTTCGTCATCATCTTCATCTTTCACAATCCATCTCGGAGTCCGCATCACACGAGGTTGCCTAGATTGTCTTCGCTCGCGGTAGCTGTAGTAATAATCATCATCGTCTGAGTTATCTTCCCCTTCACCTTCTTGCCTAGGTTCGAAAACATGTCTCGATCCAAATCGGCAAAAGATCACCTTTGAGCCGTGGTCGAGCGATCGGATCATCAACTGCAATGTCTTTCTTGTCGATTCCATGTAGTTACCACTCATTGAGCCACTGCAATCAAGGAGGAAAATATACTCCATCGGCGCGTCGGAGTCATCATCGCTTTCCTCAAGACCAAGCTGTTCTCGTATATTTTTCTCGGAAATTTCAACACTGACAATAGCGTCTGCGTTATGAAAGTCCTCACAGCCTGTTTCGCTTTCATTTGGTCTCTCAATCGACTCAACTGTTATTTTCGGGTTAAAAATGCCTCTTGACTTGATTTGAATTTCAAGATCAGTTTTCGGTCTATCGGTTGTCGGAGCAATAATCGGCATATGCCGCATATCTTCCTTAATTATCGGGCCATTTGGTCCTTCAATAATCCGATTTGCAGTTTGATTGGAATTGAGCTTCTCATAAAGTTTCCACTTTCTTCCTTCTGGAACTTCTGCACCCTTTTGATAGTCCATTTCCCAGGTTTCATCAGTTAGAAAAACTAAATTCAAAACATTAGTTTCGATCTAAATAGACTGCTACTAACTTTCGGCAATTCCAAAGCTTGAGTCGCTTGCTGTATTGGCGGATTCTCCATGTGGTTCAATAATTTCAATTTCGTCGATCCACGATGAAGTATTTGAATTACCAAGATCGACTTCCATTGCATCTTCCTCTTCTTCACCAGCCCTGAATCTTTTCTTCCTATGCCTTGGAACAAAGAGAGCATGAACGCGATCACCATTACCATTGGCGTCGCCCTTCAGCGGCTCGGAATATTTAAAGTGCACATTAATTAACTTAGTAGCTTCTGGTTTATTGCCCATTTCGATAGTATACTCATCGCCGCGAAATGATGAGGTCAGGAGAGCGCCAGAATCACCAGTTTGTACTGCTTTATTGTACTCTTCCCGCGCTTCTTCTTTTTTCTTGAGTTTGGTTTCAATTTGTTGAAGCAGTTGACGTCCATCTTCTTGTATGTCATAATACTTCGCACAAAAATAAGTCACTAAAAGGGTTCAAAAAACATGCAAATATAAAACTTACAGCTTTTATCATTTGAAAAAGGCAGAATAAATTTCTGCTGCTGGTCCATTCCATTCGGGTCTGGGTCAAAAGGTCCAGAAAAGGTAAGTCCAGGAATTTTTTCAAAGAAAATGTCCAAAAAAGTGTGCGCATTATCTTCAAATATTCTTATTTCTCTCTTCAACTTCGTTATCGCGAAATTTCCTCCTTTGATTCGCACTCCCGTACTTTCGTACGAGTAGTGCAAATCGACTGCCCCATCTTCAGGCATTTTTTAAGGGAAAAAACTTTTTAAAGCGTTATCTGACCAAACATTAGCCCCCGCGATCATTCATTTTCCCTTTTTTACTTCAAATATTTACGAGCTTGCCAGCTCAAGAGCGACTGACTGGAGAAAAAATGGAAGTTTTTATTTTCGTGCCCTTGAGACAATCGTAATTTTCTCGTAATTTTTTCGACGAAGATTCTCTCCCTTGGCTTATTTTCTTGCCGGCACGTGATTGGCTGAGCTTTTTATTCGCGGATCAATTTGAAACTAAATAAGAATGTTCCGCGCTGTTGAATCGACAAACAATTGTGCAAATCGAAGCCAGCAAGATTTTCAAGCCCACTCATTTTTGTGAGAATGTTGAGTATATTTTTCTTGTCATCAATAAAGAATTTGAACTAATTGGAAATTCGTTCTTTTTTTACAGCAAAATTATCCGTGCGATCAAAAGAGTGAATCGAAAATGTCACAGATTCAAGAAAGATCGCCAATTATCGACTTGATTTCTTCATCGGCGTTGATTCCATGAGAAGAGAGCTTCGTTTTTGCCTTCTTTGAGATATGATACCATTCCACCTGCTTGTCCGCTTCGTATTTTTCAAGAGCGGCTGTAAATCAGATTCGAAAAAGTCAACTAAATGAAGTTTTACCTAGCGCTAGAATTGTTAGGACGAGCTGATCATTCTGAATCTTGAATCGAAGATGCTCAAAGATCTTTCCGAAGTTTTTATTGAATAACTCCAAGCATCTGATGATTTCAACGCCCTCTGAAAAAAATGAAATCAACGAAATTCGTTTCAAATGACTAGTACTCTTTGCATTCCAAAGTCCACTAGTGCGAGTGTAACTCATCAGCTGATCAAGACGCGCGGAGTCGTTCTTTTTCTTTTCAGCATCAGTACTACTGATTGTCGCAGATTTCATCGTCCTTGAACTTTTTCTCCTGGCACCGCCGATTCCACCCGCGGCTGGAGGACCACCCATTGACATTGGAGATCTGCCATTTCTTATTCCTGCTGGCATCATTCCTCCAGCAGCTGGTGGAGGAGGGAAGGCGAGTCCTCCAGCTCCTGCGAAAGCTGATCCACCGGTGGGCCGCCTTCCACCGGCTGCCATGTACGTCGGTGCTTTAAAATTGGTCAATTAATTGCATAGAACATTGGGCTGGTTATACTGTTAGAAATTGTATTTCGTCCACTGTGAAGTCCTTGAAGTCCTTGAACCTGCGTCACTGGACCCATCGAGACGCCATCTCTGACGCCCACAAATGCGGTGTAATCACATAATACTCCGCCCTGAAAACATAAAATGAAGGAAAAAAGAAAATAATTTCTTACAAAGATAGATGCATCAATTTGCGCTTCTTGAACATCAATGTTACGAGGACGCTCGTCTTCGAGAAAATCAATTTCTTGTTTTGCCCAAAATGACTTGAGAGAAATATTTTGATTCCTAAACGGAGCACTTTTTTGGGACTCTTATCTTTCAATCATAATTTTTTACGATAAAAAATTGATAGAAAAGATTAAAAATATTATTCAAGAATCCGTTCATATTGTAATTGAGCCTAATTGTTTGTCCATTTATCATGAATCGAAGCTGGTTTCTTGGATCAAGCAAAAGAGCCGAAACAGAAAGGATTTGATGATGAGTTGATTTAAGCTTCAGAAAAATTCTCTTGGAGCCGAATATTGGCATGTTCAGATTATTTTCAGCAGGGGAGAATCCGACTCGTTGAAGTCCATCTGGAAGGATGATGTTATTAAGGAAGACAGAAGGTCTTTAGATGATGCATATTGATGTCAACTTAACTAAGTAAGCAAGGATACTGTTGTTAAAGCATCATTCCTCGAAGCATTGTTCAAAATCTCCATCGTTCTCGTCTGAATTCGCTCATCTCCGAGAACATAAGTCGCCGATCCCCTGCCATTCTTTGCGATACCCTCACATAAACTCTTCGAAGCACCGGATCCAATTCCAAGTGAGAAAAATCGAAGTCGACCTTCATGCTGAATAGTTGTCTCATTCACCATTTGAATGACTTCGCGAGTATTGGTGATGGCTCCATCTGTCATGACAAAAATATTTCTGTAGGTGTCGGGAGACATTTCGAGCCTTATAAAGTATAGATAATAAATTTAAAAATGAAATTACTTGAAAATATCTTGAAGCGGCTCTCGAATATTTGTTCCACCCATATTCGCTCTCATATCTCTCTCAAGATAATTTTGAAGAAGTTCTTCTTGGTCATCGTTATCCTCGTCGATTGTTATCCACTCAGGTCTCCGCATCTCAGGCACAGGTCGTCGCTGACGATCATTTCTATCGTAATTATAATGATAACGAGGGTCTAGCGGTTCATTTGTTCCGCCTCTTTGTCGAGGCTGAAATTCATATCTTGTCCCGAACCGACAAATAATGATCTTTGATTTATTATCCATTGATTTGAACATCAATCCCAATGTCTTTTTCGTAGCATCCATGTAACTACCACTCATTGATCCGCTGCAATCAACGAGGAAAATGTACTCCATAGCAGGTTTTTCTGGGTTTGACTCGAATCCATTATTGCTATCATATTCGATGTCGCAATTGCCATGGATTTCCATTGGCTCCGCAAGCTGGCTAAGTTGCTTTCGAATATTTTCTTCTGAAAGATCAATGCTCAAAATAGCTTCATCTTCGTTAAATGCTTCTGGTCTACTCCCCGTTGACTCGATTGTCATCACTGGATCAGAATAAGGATTAACGAAGAAACTGATTTCGAGGTCGTTCTTTTCGTCATTGATTCGTTCATCAAGCGTCAATAATCGGGGCATATCATGATGCTCAACCCCATTAATAATACGCGTTACAAGATGATTTCCTGGATCGATTTCGTAAACGAGCCATTTTCTTCCGTCAACATGATATGCCGGGCCATTTAATCTGTCAACTTCCCAATGCCGATTGTCAACCTCAACTAATATAATCATTAAATATGTCGCGAAAAAAACTCCAAAAGAACTTACTTTTCACAATAGCTGATTCGGGTCCCCCAGAATTGGAAAAATCTCCACGGCACTCTATAATCTCGATTTCATCATGCCAATTACTTCTCTGATTTGGGCCGTCCAGTGAGATATTTATCAATGGATCGTCTTTTTCTGTTGGCAGAAAACGGCTTTTCCTGTGCCTTGGAACATGAAGAGTAAATGAGTGTTCTTTTCCGTAAATCCACTTCGACTTCATTGGCTCAGAATATTTCAAATGCACATTAATGTACATTGTATCATTGGGTTTGTGTCCCATCTCGATAGTGTATTCATCACCACGACAAAGCTCATCCCTGGTTGCAATAACACCATAGTTTTCTTGAGCAAATGCTTTCTTATACTCATCTCTAGCTTCTGATTTTTTCTTTAGCTGTGTGTCAATGTTTGCAAGCTCAGCGCCATTACTTGCGAAATATTGAGCACGGAAAAAAGTCACTAAAAACATTTTTGAAAAAATAGTTGGTTTTCGTTGCCAAAAAGATTGAGAAGAAAACTCACAGCTTTTTTCATCAGAAAACGGAAAGACAAATTTCTGTTGCTGATCTTCCCCATTCGGATCTGGCCCGAACACATTATCCGGAACCTTTTCGAATATGATGTCCAAAAAAGTGTGTGCATTCTCTCCAAAAAGTCGAATTTCTCTTTTCAGTTTTCGTATCTCAAACCTTCCGCCCAGAATTCGCACTCCTGTATTCGCGAATTCATAGTGTAAGTTGACCGCGCCGTCAGCGCGGTAGGCCATTTTAACTTTTCACTATTATCTCGATTTACGCTGCTCAGAATGAAAAAGAGCGCGTTTCGTTTTCCCTTTTACGATTAGTCACTATTTACCAAGCTAATAAATCGGGCATATGAACACATGAAGCCATAGTCAACATAATTCTCTTTCGAAGTTTCATTCAGTAAGAACTGAATTTGAAAAAAGTTCAAAGACGAATAATCCCTTTCGGCAAGATCAGCCATTTCAAGTCATGAAATCGATTTTTTTGTGATTATGTTTCACAGATGCATAGAAAAAAGCTAGAAAATGACAGTTTCTTAAAATTCGTTTAAATTAAAGAGTAAACTCAGGATGAATAAGAGCGCTGAAAACTTACTTTCTCGGACGACAGAAAAGTCTTCCTCGATCTTGAGAGTTCGGGAGAGAAATTTTCGCTCTGTGAGAATCAAACTTGTGTAGTAAAATGCGACGCAGTAGAAAGAAGCTTTTTCTTGGTCTCAAAGACTGTTTTACCTTCTTGAAATCTTGAGAAAAAACCGTTCTTTTAACCAAACAAGCAATAAGCTTATACCATTCCATTCCTTTTTCCTTGTCAAGATCGCTTGAGCCGACAATATCGTCAAGCACCATTCGGCTGAAATTCTTGATCTCTTCGAAAACTGAGATTTTATGAAGCTGTTCATCGGTTTCATCGCCAATTTCATTTTCAATAAATTCTTCCTTGTTTTCTCCTTTTGAAAATTCTTTTCTCTGGCGAAGCTCATTATCTTCGTTGACGGTGTTTGAATCAAGAATTTCAAGAAAGAATCAAACATTGTCGACGCTTCTTTTCTAGAGAAAAAATAAGGAATCTGGGCTCAACAATCGCTGCTGACCGACAATTTTACGGACTGATTTAATGAAAAGAAGATCTTTACTACGATTACGAGTATGAGATGGTGTTTGACTCGAAGTTCGAGAAAGTCGAGTTGATAAAGGCGAAAGTTTTTGACAATCAGAAGAGATTATTGAAGAAGGAAATTTTGAAAATTCTGGCAGCTCTGGGTCGTGACAATACAAAGGTTTATGTCCTTTTCAAAACTTTTTGAATATAATGAACAGAAATACCATAATTATTGATCCTATGATTTCGCTTCGTTCTCTTTTGAGCATTTTTTGTTGATATTATTTTAAATTCAAAAAGTATTGTTTCACCTCAGACGATTAAGATCGATGTAAATTTCTTTATCAGAATTGCTCAAAAGCATATCTAAGCTACCAGCAGCCGAATTACTAAAGGAAAAAAACGAGCAAATCCGCTAGCTAGATTACGAAACCTCCGTCAATTCGACCCTTGTCAAGCTGAAATCAATGCTGGGATTTTGTCAGGTAACATAACGACGTGAAAATAGCTGCCCAAGTTATGTTTGGTCAGAGACTGGTTTCTAAGTTGAGAAAATTGTAGAGCTGAATCTCGCCTTTCCCAGGCGAAATCGAATCCATCACGCGCACACGTGTCATCTGCGATATACAAGACGAGCTCTATCATCAAAATTTACAGAGCGCGAAAGAAATCGACGTCTTTTTGGTCGTCTTGTTTGGGAAATGTGCTTTTCATCATCAAAGAAAGTTGACGATATGAGAAACTCAGACAAGCAGAGTTTAACCTCAACGGGAAAAACATACCAAAACACCGGTTGTTCCGATCCCTCCTCCGAGACATACGGTTTTTGGAATTTTTGATGCTCAAATTTAACATTTGTTGAAACATTTCTTTAGTCAGAAAATAAACTGATTTCTTGCTCTTTTTCATCAACCCCCGTCAGCTTTTTCTGTCGAAAAATAGAAATTTTTTAAGACACCATATTTTTGGTTTTTAATTCGTCCTCAGGTTAGGCATGCTTCAAAAACTTAGTAAGAGGAATTTTTGACCAAGAATAATCCAAATTTTTGCCAAAACTAGGGCAAATTCGTCGCTTTTTCTCGAAAAGTCCAATTCTCAAATGCAATTTTGGGGGTAAAGGAGTCGAGATAGACCCCAAAGAACGAGGCCTCAAAATCGTTTTTGACCCGTACAATCCATTTCCGGGGTCAAAATTTTATAATTCCGAAATCTTATTTTTCGAAAAAAGCTGACAGGGGGCCCTTAAGTTATTGACATAATAATTTTGATCTCAAAAATCACGTGAGAAAAAATGTCACTTGCGAAAAAGTAAGAAAAAAACTGGACTAACTGGAGTACAGAATATGCTGCTGCGCCCATCTGCTGTTGGTGCCAATTAAGAGGTTTTAATCTTTCGAGCTTCGGATTTATTTCCCACAAATTATTTCCTTCTCCTCGACGGCACGCACATTAGCAGGATCTTTTTCATAACGTACGTGCAGGAAACTAAAAAAAGCTCTCCAATCGTCATCATCATTAATAACGAGAAAAACTGTAATTGAGCGAAAAAAATACGAGCATTTAGAAAAGCAATAAAACTGGGGTTAAATTGCATCAGTCGCGCGCAGAAGCTTTTTGGTCTAATTAACTCCCCCGTCATTCGGATTTACGACTCTCTAAGATTGCTCTTCATCATCTTCTGAGAAAGTTCGTTTCCGTATTTTTTCTTCGCCCGCGTTTTATTTTAGGCTTATCTTCTTTTTACGGTATTGCGGGAATCAAATTGAATTAAGAATTGTAAATCCGGTGCAAAATTGCAGCGCGTTTATTTTATGCACAGAAAATTTCTTTTCTCTCTTTTTTAAATTGCCCTCCTTGGCAAAAACAGGAGGCGATTATAGATTGTCTGGAATTCAATTCGTGGTTTTCTGTTCCGCCGTTTCTGAATAAGGGACAGCTCAGCCGGGAGAGACACCTAATAATGATTTTGAAACTAGAGCTTCTTAAGCGGCCACAGCTGTGACTCCTCAACCTCGTGAATCATTATCTGTGGTTGTACTAAATCCAAGTTCAGCCTTTTTCAAAATGACTCCAAAAAAGGGGGGAGGCAAAGATGATAGCTGATTTTTGTGGATTATTATTTTTGTTGTCACTAAAGTAAAGGTTGGGGTAAGGGTTAGGGTAAGGGTTAGGGTTTGAGTTAGGATTCGGCTTTGGGTTAGGGTTGAGGATTTAGATTTAGGGGGTTAGCATCAGGAAATTTCGACAAATTTTGCATGGAAATTTTAAACCAATCAGAAGCCTGGATTTGGCGTTCCGGCCAATAAGGAGCCAAGGAACTGCCCACGCAAAATCTGTCGATATATTTGTCGGCTACTGACGCTACCCACTTAACAAAATCCCCTAACCCTAACCCTAACCCTAACCCTTATCCTTACCTTTACTTTAGCCAAAAGCAAAAAGGGAGTTTCCCAAAAAGTAAAAGAAATTGCAGATTTGATTAGATTTGTGCTTTTATATGAATTCAAGTTATTAAATTTCTGCGCGAATCTTTGATCCTCGCGCCCAGTGAGAAAAAAAAACTGCTATCTAAAGAATGATTCGATTACGAAACGCAATCAGTACACCTTGGCCTGGCGAGCACGTTCTGCTCCAATTCTTTTAGCGCGTCAAAATAAACGCAGATATACTTTTCGAAACATGGCGAAAGGGAGAAAGCGTCTCTTTAGCTGGAGTTGTTTCCGAAACGGTTTCTTTACGGAAATAAACAAGATTTTTGGACAGATTGCGAAATGTCAGTTTGGTAGAGGTTTAACTGTAGATTCGGCCGACAGTGGTTATGTCGCCAAATGACACTGAATGTCGCCCAATGTCGCTGAATGTCGCTGAATGTCGCTGAATAATATTGAATAACGCCGAATGTCGCCGAATGTCGCTGAATGTCGCTGAATGTCGCTGAATGTCGCTGAATGTCGTTGAATGTCGCTGAATGTCGCTGAATAATGTTGAATAGCGCGTAATGTCGCCCAATGTCCTTGAATGTCGCCCAATGTCGCTGAATGTCGCTGAATAGCGCCGAATGTCGCAGAAGAGGCGGATCTACATGCTTCGACTGATAATGTGGTTAGAACCCTGATTCAGGTTTTCTACACAGGTTGTGAAGCCCAGTCTTGATTAGGCACCCTTTTTGGCAGCATTATTTGGATTCTTTCAGCTGAAAATTAACGACTGATTCAACCCTTATTCATTAGTCGATTATCCCTCTAAAACCCATGAATAAGCATCTCGCCACCTTTACGAGTACGATTGTAGGTGCAAGGTTTTCGCTTGTCTCACTCTCCATCTGACTTTTCTTGCGAGTTTGTGTTTGGCGGTGGCGCTCGAGAGCTTTTCTCTCATTTTGTTTCCACCAAAGAGCACCAACTCTACTCAACAAGCGCTGGAGCTGCTCGACAAAAAATTTTACCATCATCAGCAAGTTAAAACCTTTTATCTATTTTTAGTCCGTTTTTGAGAAAACAAGAGGAAACCATAGAAAAAAAGAGATTTGCTGTGGAAAGTGATTTTTGAAGAAAAAGAAGGAAATTTTTGAAGAAACGAAAATTTGATAAAATAAGGTAATGAATCTTTTTGATCCAAAATTTCGGAAAATTTTCTTATAAACCTACGATTTTTCTTCGATTTCTCATTGGCCCGAAAAAAATTTTAAATTTTGAGATATCAAAAATCTAGAATAACGCACGGGGTCCCTTTAAAACCATATTCAATTAAGGCCTTCCCCTTGATTGGTCAAATTTTGAGTAGAAATGGTATGTTGATTTTTTTTGGCCAGCTCAGTTTCAGCTTTAACAACTCGTCACTTGTGTGATCTGAACAAATCCAAATCTCATAACAAGAGTCACCTCCTTAATCGTTTATTGTGTCCTAACGCCACAGTTCTAGCGCTCATTTTCGCTTGAGGTGCGAAATATATTTCTGACGAACAAAATAACAAACTCCCTAATTTTTAACTTCAATGAGGGCCACCCTTAATTTTCTAAGAAAAATCTTAAGGGCGTCTCGGAAATATTTATTCAATAAAATTTTCTCTAATACATTTTTTAGCTGCCAAAAAGCTAATTGGGGGTTACGCCCTTAATTTACTCGAAGCTTTACAAAG